GTCGCTCAAAAGTCATCCATAAATTATAATCTCACCAAACATTCTCCTAGAGAATAGGCAATTGAAACTATGATCTCTCTCTATAGATGACTTTGAAATCGTCGACATAGACTGCTTTCTTAGTTGTTATATCGCTTGATTATCAATCTACAGGTGGTAAATATAAACCACAGTCTGTGAACTATTGTTTAGACAGTTGGATTTTTTGGGTTGCGCTTCAATATATATGAATCTATACTTGGTCTATGACTATAAATAGGAATCTATGACATTCTGGAATAGTCTCCACTCTAAGCAACACTGAAAATATTAAGATTTCCTTGTAGGTGAATATTACTCATTGAATTCCAACATACCGTTATAAAAGTATCCCATTCCCAGTGAAACATAAAGATCCTCAGATTCATATTATCTATATCAAACCCTTTTAGTTATTAAGTGGACACATTCAAGGTCACTTCGGCGTCACTCAAAGGTCATCCATACATTATAATCTCACCATGAATTCTTCAAATTCAATTGATGAATTGGCCTTGATCGTGATTGGTCATTATCATGAATTCAATACATGTGACCTTGGATCGATACATTTAATCAATAATCGGATATTAGAATGATTTGTCACGTGTTCTCTACATATGGATTCATAAATGAGATGAGTAAGACATAATTCTTATTAAGAGAAAAACCAATTTCATATAAGATCTTGGACGGTTCTTTGGAAATTAAATGAACTTGATTATATTATCCATTTAACCATCTACTAACTGATTTGAAGGGGTAAGTATTATGTTCAGTTGATATAAGTCTTTTATATATCAAAGTCGAGATCTTCACTACGAACATCAAGATAGTCCTACTGTACCGAGCTGAAACGTGAAGAAGAACTACAACAACCAACATCAAGAAGGTTCAAGTAGTTATAAATAGTTGTCTATGCAAGATACTCAACATCCTTTGGCGGATACCATGAGGAACAACCTACTGTGGCAGAGAACAAACCAGCTTCCTACTTAAGAAGAGATTAGGAAAAGACGATTGGAGTGGATAGGATACATATATAAGCAGATATGAAAAGGATTAATAACAACTGGAAAGGATTTCTAAGGGCATGGTTGGATGGAGAGTGCTGGTGTTGGGCCTATGCTTCTCCATGAGGAGTAACAGGCGTATTTACATAACTAATAGGTGACATGTTTCTCCGATTAAAATTTGTATGGAATACATAAAATTACAGAACATCTTAGTAAAATCTGAGAACCATATAGTAAAGACTTCATTTGTAAAATGTCAATCAATCGTCCCAAACTTCCCTATTCCTACATTTCTATACCGATTGCTTTCTGTTCCCGTTCTTTCCTTCTTGATCTTCTCAATTTTCTACTGCCAGACATTATATACCTAACTCGCGTTATATACTACTTATGTCGATATAAATAGCAAACACTACACTTGTATCAGCTGAACTGATATAAAACTTTATTGATTGAATACGACTGCCAGATATTGAACGTTAAAAAGGAAAATATGTCCTGTATACTTACTGTAACGGAAGTTTCAGCATTGAATAAAGCTATTGTTATTATCATTATTATATAATGTTCCGTCATTTATAAAAGTATGGCGGTCCAATCCCATTTAATATTGATCTTTGTCACACATCAAGTGCGGTGCATAGGTTTTGATTAGAATGAAATTAGTGAATATTTTAAAACAACCTATTTCCAGCTTTATTTTTCAGTTTACATCAATTAAATTGAGTTTACTTATGGTCATTTGATGAGCCAATTTGAAGACATTAGAAGGAGGTTTTGTGGAGATTTTAGATATTTCACTGATTGAAATCATGAGTCAATTGAAGTTAAACCACCATGAAAAACCTGGACGGCCGTCTCGTCATAGTATGGGACTCCTCAGCAGTGTGTATTCACGATCCTGCGTCCCGCGAGATTCGAACTCAGGAACTATCAGTCCCGCGCCAGGCGCTGAACCACCTAGACCACTGAGCCGGCTTTCAATGGTGTTAACTTCTAACTTCAACTAATCCACGAAGTTGCGCCACCGTACATCACTGTCTTCAGTGAGCTGATATCTCACAAAAGACATGGTTGAACTACACTGGTAATGGCTTCTCATTAGAAATCCAGGAGTATCTCTTAAAGTCAGTCACTAGTGAGCAGGTGATTATTATTATTATTATCAGAATGGGTTTTGTGGAGATTTTAGAAATTTCACTGATTGAAATCATGAGTAAATTGAAGCTAGACCACCATGGAAAACCTGGAAGCGCAGTACTGAGGAGTTCCATACTGGTACGGAACGGCCGTCCAGTGCTTCCAGGTTTTCCATGGTGGTCTAGCTTCAATTGACTCATGATTTCAATCAGTGAAATTTGAAGATAGTTAGTTGTTCATACTGATTATTACGTTAGCTTCGGTGTTGTCAAGTCTTTCGTTATCTGAACCAGATACATTTTTATTGCTAAGTATTATTCAAACACTTTACCTTACTCAACTAATCCCCAATACCAGAACACGGCTTGGACATGTATGTAATTCCATCCTAAATAAACTAAGTTGAATGAGAGTCAATCACAATAAGAAGAACGTTATTATGTTAATAACTGAATATGAAAATATTCTAGAGTATTTTCTAATTACCAACTAGCTCTGATTGACCAATAATAGTCTACTTCTTAGTAAGCCGAATTCTTTATCATTACTGAGAATATTTGAAGAGCAATGGATGTAAATTATTCACTAATGATTCAAAGTTTTCTGGAAACAATTATTCTCTACAAAAGTGTACATGGTGAAGTATTTATTATGATAAAAGAAAGTACAAAAGGTTAGTAATAAGGATTTAAACCAGAGTGGAAGGTCACTATTTTAAGAATAGCTTAAGTCATAGTACGCATCCAATACACACGAACAAATGCAGATAAAGACAGCCAGTGTAGCAGCAGTTTCTGCATCAGTAGGCCTCAACATACACAAGGGGAAAACCAAAGTCCTCAAATTCAAAGCGGAGAACAGCAGTCCAATCACTCTTGATGGCGAAACTCTGGAAGATGTAGAATCCTTCACATACCTGGGAAGCATCATCGATGAACAAGGAGGTTCAGAAGTAGACGTAAATTCGAGGATTGGCAAAGCAATGGCTGCATTCCTACAATTGAAGAACATATGGAACTCAAAACAACTTTCAACCAATATCAAAGTGAGAATCTCCAATACGAACGTCAAGGCAGTTCTACTGTACGGGGCTGAAACTTGGAGAACTACAACAACCACAATCAAGAAAGTACAAGTATTTATAAATAGCTGTCTACGCAAGATACTCACCATCCATTGGCCGGATACCATCAGCAATAGCCTTCTGTGGGAGAGAACAAACCAGCTTCCAGCTGAAGGGGATATTAGGGAAAGACGCTGAAAGTGGATAAGACATACATCACGGAAATCACCAAAATGCATCACGAGGCAAGCCCTAACTTGGAACCCTGAAGGGAAGCGGGAAAAAGTGGGGTCAAAGAACACATTACGTCTGGAAATAGAATCAGATATGAAAAGGATGAATAACAACTGGAAAGAGCTGGAAAGGATTGCTCAGGACAGGGTTGGATGGAGAATGCTGGTGGGTGGCCTATGCTCCTTCACGAGGAGTAACAGGCGTAAGTAAGTAAGTAAGTAAGTATTGATACAGTTTACTTGTGATGAGATACTAGAGATTACGTTTTTGTAAAAATGATAGAACTATGGCGTCCATATGATCCGAAAAGACACCATGAACTTCTAGTTGTTTATGATTGTTGTTGATTTTCACGATTTACAAAACGAACTGAACTGTGTGAGATTACTGAGCTAAAACAATAAACAACAACAGTATAAATACTAGATGCTCTAAAGGTTAAATGCCCATCTCAAGACTTGAAGGTTCTTTGTTTGATCACAGGTGCTCAATGCTGAGAAGTCACATACCAACTGTTTAGAACATCTAGATTTCCATTAGTTGTCTATCTAGGATTATAATCAGAGAGGAGTTTTATGGAAATTATGGTAAATGAATAGTTGAATTCATCAGTCAATTGAAATTAGACCAACATGGAATGCCTGAAAGCACTGGATTACCGTTTCCTCTTACTATGGGACTCTATGATTTGAAGTATACTTACTTCTTGATAATGAATGTTAAAATGTGAACACCATCAGATTTTTTCAAATAATATTAAATTCATTTGGTGTTGCTTTACTTCTATCTTTCCATTGTTATTTATGATTGCACTTGATCAGTCTCTTATTGGAATATGTGCATCCTGTGCAAATTCCCTCAATATAGCCTTAGGTCACAAGCTTTTTTTAATCAAAGATGGATAATGGCTAGAAGAGGAATCCAGTTTGACGCGCGTTTCATCCTATTTGTGACTCATCAGCTTGATGTACCTTCATCTTAGAGTTGATATTCACTTCAGATAACATGATAGTGTTTAAAGCGAACAGTACTGGATTCGAGTCCGACAGTGAACATCAACTCTAATATGTAAATACATCCAGTTGACGAGTCCGAAATAGGAAGAAACACGCTTCAAACTAGATTCCACTTTTAATCACTATCCCCATCATCAATATTCACCAATATTAACTGTTATTATCATTTAAAGTACACAGCTTAAGTCTTTATCCAATTACATTGTATTTTGTTTGAATAGAAGGAGCAGAACAACGACAACAACAAAAAGAAACGAAAGAAAGAAGAACACTGTAGTCATCAAGTACTACTTCATCTATACTTTTATTTTCATTTAAGTTCAATTGTAATTTACTTCAAATCATGTGATTATAACTAAACAAATTTGAGAACCAACATACACAACTCAATGATTACATAAGTGTACTCAACTAAATGAAATGATTAGTTAAATGAATGTGTAGATAGATACCTTTGTCTATATATGATATGTCTGTTCATTGAAATATCCAATACAATAGTGATCATTTATTATTGAATCAGATCTTGATTAGATCTGTTGAATTGTAAAGAACAGATCTCGTTGTGAATGTGTGTTCGCTTTCATCTCCAACATCATTCATAAGACGTTCATTATAACAAACTAGAATGTGAAATCATGTATTATTCATTGGATTATATATACATATATAATAATATCTATTGAATTGTTTAATTAGTCAATTATGAAAAAAGATAAAAAGAACCAGGTAAGTATTGAATATAATTGATTGAGAAGTTTAGGCTGATATAGTTTTTGTTTCTTCCAAACCTTTTAATGACCATGAATCTGCTTTCTCAGTTAAAGGGTTTTGGAAATTATTATGTTATTGATTGAGATCAAGAATTGATTGATGTAAGATCATTATTGAAAACCTAGAAGCACTGAACGGCCGTAACGGGATTCTCGGAGTTCTAGTTGGAAGTCATGATCAGTGGAGCTGATCCGTCTCGAGTGGAGACAGGTATCTACTTCAGTAAAATGGAAGATGGTTGCGCAATTTCGTGGATTAGTTGAGGTTAGACATTAACACCGTTGGTTGTCGGCTCAGTAGTCTAGTAGGTTGAGCGTTCGCGCGCGAGACCGAAGGTCTTGGGTTCGAATTCTTTGGGAGGGACTATGGACACGCTCCGCTGAAGAGTCCAACAAAAGGACGAAACGTCTTTCTAGGTTTTCAATGGAGGTCTAACATCAACTTTTAAAACTGAAGCCCACTGTAGTAGAACAATGAGAAGGCGGAGTTGATCTGAAGATTGGTGATGTATTTGCGCTACATACATTTCGAACAATCTAGCCACACATATACACTTGTCATGGCATTTTTATATGAAAATCAATAAAGGTCAATTACATGAAATTTCAAGTAAAAAAATGGTAACAAAGAGGAGAGAAACAATTTTATATCTTATAGAAAGAATAAGAGAAGAGGAATGAAGATTCAAGTAAACAATGTCAAATGAATTTAAACTTTACCCCAATGCACAAGTAACTGACTACCAGAACTTCGTAGCTAAGTGAATAACACGATGGCGTTTGAAGCGAACAGTACTGAATTCGATCACCAGAGTGAACATCAACTCTGGGATGCAGTACATCCAGATGACAAGTCCCGAATAAGACGAAACGCGCTTCAAACTGAATTCCTTTGCTATCCACTATCCACCTTTGCATATAATGATTGTGACTTAAGGCTATATCGAGGCAATCCGCACAGGATGCACATATGCCAATAAGAGACTGATCAACTGCAGTCGTAAATAACAATGGGAAGATTCGAAAAAACAATACCAAGTAAGTATAGAATTTGTCGCGTTATCCTAGGCCATAGAATGACTTAAGGATTACTAGGGTAAACTCAAGAGTACAACAAATTGTTTTTGTACATGAGGGGGGGGGGCTTGAATTTTCGAATAGCCAAAGCTTTAATAAACTTGAAAATTCATCCATGACAATTTCTATCCAACGTTTTAAAAGCTATACTAAAGTATTAATTTTGTGCCCCCGTTTCAATTGTGTTTCACTATCAATGAACATGGTTATCTATCTCCTACGTTGATCGGATCATTGGACAATAATTGGTTTTGAAGCCATCTAGGCATATGCTCAATGACCCTTGTTTGTATTGTTCGATTACTCCTCCCTATGTATACGTGTCCACACAAACATGTAAATTGGTAAATACAAGTTTGCTAAGATTTTATTCACTGTAGGTTGAGTCCCATAAAGAGTATCAGTTTCTTTACGAATATAGTTGTGACTTACTGACTAATACCAACTAATGTCGACTACTTACAACTATTTACCATTCCGAAATTTTTGTTCGTTGACGACTGAACTTTATGATTTTGATTCGACAACTACTTAAAACCAGAAAACACAGGATATTATCAGTTTTGAAGTTGTGGAGATTGTTAAGTTTTTGACTGAGATCATGAACCGACTGATGTTAGACCACCATTAAAAACCTGGAAGCATTGGACGGCCATTTCGTCCTATTGTGGGACCCCTCAACAGTGCGCATCCACGATCCCGCTCGCAGGACTCGAACCCAGGGCTTCTAGTCTCGCGCGCGAAAGCTTAACCTGCTGAACCACTGAGCCTGCACCCAATGGTAATTGTTTCATCTTTTTATGTTTTCAGCACTTGTCAAATCATGATGTAAAATGGAAATGTTTGTCGGAAAGCTGAAATAAAACTTGTTACACTAGAATATAGGGAACAGTCAATATTGACATTGAAATGGCATTGAAACAAATTTTCAGCTATTCAACAAACAGTTTATCAAAATCAAAAGTGTTTCACAACAACATTGATAAATCCCTATTGAAATTTAATGGTTTAACGAAGTTTATAAGTTATCCAAGGCTTATTGTCATTTTTTGGCGAATTAGTTTTCTACAGGGTGGGGTCGATAACCCCACATCCAATCCTCCGCCTTTATCCGAGCTTGGGACCGGCAGTAGCCCCCAAGGGGCTTCAAGAGTAAATGTCACTACACAACCTCATTTATCATAATGTTAGTATATTCAAGCTAAAAGTTAACTTTGTGTCCTTCTGTCACCCATTCACAATTTTCTAGAATATGTATCATTGTCTATAACATCCATTGAAGGGTTAGTGAAATAAAGTTTTCCGATGACGATGTGGTAACTTGATGTTTGGAAAATGTTATCAACAGTACAATACATAACTTCATCAGCTCTCCTATTCATCAACAAACCACTGATGAAGCGATTTCTTTAGGAGAGTTTACTATAAACAACATTAACTGACATAAACAATGATCGATTTATGTGTTGAACATAATCTCAACAGACAGTAGTAAACATTTGACGTGCTTTAGTGAAATAATCTTGATGCCGAAAACTCAATGGTTTACAATGATTGGGTATCTGAAATCAATTCAGGATGTAAATTGTATACAAATTGAATACTCTCCACAAATAGCTTATTCTAATAGCATGATTTCTTGATGAGTCTGTGTAGGCCAGGAAGCATTAGTACGTCAGTTACATTTTCCTCATTTCTGACAGTCTTTTCTACGACACGTCGATGATTTTCACATGGATTGAACCCAGAAACCACATCAGTACTAATGTAAGCAAACGAATGCTTAAGTGCTGTGAAATACCTTGTACAATGACTAAGCAATGTATGCAAAAAACGAGAAAAACCATAGAATGTATCAAGGATAGACGGCAGGTCAAATACAAATGTAGGCGAACTCTTATGAAAAGATTATTCACTTAGCTATGGTCATCCAGTAAATCCGTTGTCTTAGTCATTCCGGCCACATAGTTGCAATTAATTTGAAAGGACTTTTATCAAAAAACATCTTTGTATTTCTTATCTGCCTAATTTGGTTGAATAAGCATTAAGTCCTTGTATTCAGGCTGAGGTGAACATCAGGCTATCATATTACAGTCTTTGCTTTTCGTTCAGTCACATTCTTTCTTGTAACATTACTTCTCTTTCGAGTTCTATTATCCTCTAATAGACACAAAATATAAGGACATGTAGTTTGATTTCGGATGTAATCAGTAGTATACATTGCGGATAAATCTCAACATGACTCTATGAACGTTGCAATCTATGGATTACAATTTTATTTTGATTGATATGTTACTATCAAGCATTAAGAACAGTCAAAAATGCCGTGGTTTGGTCGAGAGTGGTGGGAATTCTCTCTCGGTCTTAAAATGCTCTCACATGGCCACGCGTATGCAGATACTGACAGGGAAGTGCTGCTCACTGCCTACTGGCGGCGGGGATTTTGTTTACTAAATTCACAGGACTAAACGCAAGTGCCGGCGCTTGAATTGGCTTGATAGGTATGGAGTATTCATTTGATGGAGTTGGAAAACTCTTATTCCAAAACGATGGTATACATGAGCTTCAGGAACATGAAGGAACAATTTGCGTATGAACCTTGTCTTTGTCACCGGCTACAATAAAATCGCATCTCTCAACGTTGCTCTGCTACTTTGTGGATTGTACCTGTAGGTCAAAGACTCGGAGAGTAGTTCTCTAAGAAAACCACTTGATTCGGTTCGGACACCTTGACACTATCCCGGCCCATGTACAAATTTAATGATTTACTGTATGGCGCATATAAACTTTTGTCCCTCGTTTTGTACCAACGTTCATGTGTTTAAATAAATGAATCACTCACACATTTGAATCTCCAAGACAGCCAAACATATTAGTTTAATATTCAGTCGATCGGCTTCAGATAATGCTATCTGTATAAGGTTATTGAAGAAGCGGAAATGTCCTTTTATTCAGCATGTAGAAACGATGAATATTTTTCGGATTACTTAGCTAATTCAAAACTTCTCAATTGCTGTATCGCCAATATTTTCAACTTGTAAGTTCGTCCATATCAGACAGACGTGACGAACGAATCTGAATTTTATGTTGAAATTTGACTCCTTTCACTTTTAAAGTCAAACTTTAGTCTATTTAATAAATTCTTAACCCTACAATATGACCTTTGTTTCACATTTTCTGACGCCCATCAGTTGATTCATGGGACATTTGTTTAGTTATCTCTTCAAGACAACTCCTGTCATATAATCTAGTTTCCTCTCAATGAAATATACTATTCAGAGGTCATTACTTCATTGGACTTGATCCACACTAATCAAATGAGTTTATCAAGCAACCCAGAACACATCTTCATGTTTTAAGCGTTTCAATCCTGGTAGGCATTTTTTTAGTAAGATTTATTTCTACGAGATGAGGTTGCTAATTGCATGCCCAATCTTCCTCCTTTACTCGGGCTTGGGACCGGCAGTAAGTCTAGAAGAGCTACAAGCGGAGTTCGTTTCACTTACTTTGATCAAAATATATCCAGCTTATATGTAAGTGAGGGGAGTTTAATAGTCAAATCACTTGACTATCAAATAGTCGATTGTTCATTCAAAATCAATTTCACGTCATTTAATGTAAGGAACTAGGCTAAATCACTAACCGTTACACCGAAACGATTTACATACATATCTTACTCGTTCAATGAATGTTCAGTGGATGCCGTCTCAGTGGTCTAGAAGTTAAGCGTTCGCACGCGGGATCGTGGATGCGCACTACCACTGAGGAGTCCCACAGTGGGACGAAACGGCCGTCCACTACTTCCAGGTTTCCAATAGTGGTCTAACATCCATCGTTTCACGATATCAATCAATGAATTACTATCAAATTATGTTCATTTTAATAGTGGATACCCAAATCTTGTTAACTCAGTTATCAAACCCCAGTGGATGAAATGTAAATGTTATGTAACTTCAATAAATGTATTGGGAATCAATATCCTTAGAAACAGTATTTCATGAGAAACTATTTTATCATACCACATCCCGAGCCTCTGACCTAAAGGTATGATCCACAAGGCAGTGGAGTATCGTGAGGAGATGCATTCTCATGGTAGCCGGTGACCAACATTTGGTTCATACGCTATTTGTTCCCTCAGGATACTGGAGCCCATGTGCAACATTGGTTTGCGATCCGGTCATAGCGCCGGACATTCGCTTTTCGTCCTCCCATTTTCGTAAACAGCACCCCCTCCACGAGAAGGCAGTGAGTAGGACTTCTCTGGCAGAGGCTGTATACAAGTGGCTGTGTGAGAGCATTTCCAGAGGGAGGGAGGACCCACCCCACTCTCGGCCATACCAGGGCATTTGGAAGTCTTAAAATACGATTGGTACTTGTTTGATCATGGAGATAACAAGCAAATATGGTCTATAGTATATTCTATCTAATTACATGAAACAATATGGTGCCAATTAGATTTTAATATAATTTATCTTTTTCTATTTCAGGTAATCAAAGTACAAAATACTGATTGCAGCATGGTGACTATCAATATACCTCCTGAATGTGAGTATTTTTAATATCATAAACCGTCAATGTATTGTCTTGCTATAATTATTTCAAGTAATTAGTCTTGATAACTTTAATGCTCATCTTGTAAGCAAATTTATTATGTCCTTATGCCCGACTAACTATATCCCGTTATAAGGTCGCCAATTAGACACCAATTTATACGATCAGGCCGATGACACATAAACCTATACGACTATCCTAGAATACTTATTGATTCAACAAGATAATAGCTTCTCTCCTAACCCAACCGCCGGTTCAGTCCAGAACGCCAATATCAGCCTATGTGATACGAATCATACATTTTAGACACACTGGGTTTATATACAAACATATTAAACCACAACATAGCATAATATAGAAACCAACAATTGTACAAGATCAACCAAAAAGTGGCTGTGATTGGGAGAGACTGTTTCAAATAAATTGGAATGGTAAATCATATGTTAATGGTTAATAATCAGAGAGGGATTTTATGGATATTATAGTAATTTTTATTAGTTGAATTTATGAGTTAATTGAAGCTAGAACACCATGGAAAACCGGGAACCATTGGAAGGCTGTCTCATCCGATTGTGTGACTCCTCAGTAATGCACGTCCACGATTACGCTGTGATCAGTGAAGTTCAAATGGATCTGTTGTGATGGTGACAATGGCGATCTAGTGGTTAAGCGCTCGTGCATGAGACTGACAGGTCCTGAGTTCGGATCTTGTGAGGCAAGATCATGGATGTGCATTGCTGAGGAGTCCCACAATAGAGTGAAACAGTCGTCCAGTGCTTCCATGTTTTCTATGGTTGTCTGGCTACAATCGACTCAGGAATTCAACTATTAGAAAAATAGTCAATAAGTCAAATAAAAGCATATAATGAAAGGAACATGAATATCCATGTAATATAGTTACTTAATAGTATCATATGCCCATTAGTGATTAACTTCGTGTTCTAGTGAGAAGCTGATTGTTAATCGTATATTTAGATTAACCAACTAATGAAACATTGTTGTCTACATCATAAGCAATAGATTAAATGAAGTAAAATGTAATAAAGAATTCAAGTTTACTTATTATAGTCATTAGTTGCTATAGCTAATTGTCTTCCCTTTTTTATCCTATTTGGATTATTCTTGTACCATTGAAATCAATTAAATCAGTTGGTCAAGTGAAATGTTAGATCTACTTAAAGTTCAGTCGTTGAGATCTCTACAAATATAATACTATTCTCAGTTATTTATATTCTCATTATTCGAAATCAATTCTTGATATTACACTAATATCAATGATAAATTATAATTTATGGGCGACCTTTGAGTGACCTTGAGAGTGTCTACCTGACAACTAGGATCAAATGAGGGTTATGAACCAGTGTATGAGCAATCAGAATTATGATTTATAGTTAATGGTTAAAGTGAGGAATTAGATTTTGGAGTTTTCATCACGAACTGATATCAGTTATAATGCCAAAACTCTATTTAACTAAATGGATGAGTGAATTTCGCGCCAAAATCCAAAATCTGTTATCTTATACGCCCGATTGGTTTGGTTCATAAATTCTAGTCTCACCCTAATATCTAATAGCACAAAAGAAATTGAGTAAGTGCCCTGTTGTATTCTTAAAGTTGTGACGAGATCAACCAGTTAAAAGATGATTACCGATTGGTTTATAAATCTAGTCCAAAACATTTACAAACCAGAATGTTGTGAACGGGCAACAATAAGATAAAGGGGATACTTATACCTGAACATCTAAAAGATGATCCAACCATTCAGCTCCGAAGAAATAATTTCAACAAGATCTTGACAAAACGTGAATGTTGTTTGCAAAATTTATGGTTCCAGAATAATCATGACTGTTTACCTACATGAAGTCATTCTAATGTACAGATTTAAATGGAAGGAAGCTTGTAACTACTTCACAACATTAGAAGTATCCATAGAAAGGTGGCCATATTTTTTGACCTAGTGAATAGCTTCCGGAGGAAATTTCTGAAGTTCTAATGAGAATATGTAATTCGTGTAACTGAACCGTGTCGATACCTACCGAAGATAATGGAAGATGGCTGTGCACTGTTAGGAATCTATTGAAGTTACACAGTGACGCCGTTGGACTCCAAATCAGTGTTCTATAGGTTAAGTGTTCACAGAAAAAATGGCTATTCTTGGTCTTATTCTCACATGTGGTTTCGTGGATGCCCACTACTGACAAATCCCAAACTGGAATGAGACGCTCATTTAGTGATTCTTGGTTTTCAATAGTGGCTTAAAATTGATCGGTCCACGATTTCAATGCAACTCAATAATCACCACAACTTTATACTTACAGATTCAGGGATATTATCGCATGAATTTTTATCATGATTGAATTGAGTACAATAAAGTACTGATCTGCCTTCTATCTTCGTCTTCTGATCGCAAACTAAGTTACAAGGTGCTTAAAGACGAATATGATTTAAGGGTTCGGCTGTTGTTCGTTGGTTGATGTGTAAATAGATCATCGATCCTGTTAACAATATAGGCGAACTAGTGAACAGTTAGACGAAAGAAAAAGACATTATACAACTTCTTTTTTGCCATTACGATCTAATCACATTAGTCCCACAACAAACTATTCAAGCAATCTGAGTTTTCTTAGCAACATTATAGTGGTTTACTTCGTTTGCACATCTACTTAAGTTTACATGCTTAGGCCTGGTACTCCAAATGGAGAATAGGCCGCCGACCAGCATTCTCCAAACCACTCTGTCCTGCACCTTCCTTTCTAGTTCTATCCAATCATTGTACATTTTTCTCATGTCTGCCTCCACTTCTCGACGCAATGTGTTCTTTGGACTCCCTCTTCTCCTTTGACCTTGAGAGTTTCAAGTGATGAGAGTTTGCCTTGTGACGCAGTTGGATGCTTTCCTCAATCTGTGTCCTATCCACTTCCAGCGCTTCCTGATCCCAGCTGATGCGAACAATATTTCCCAGACATCTGTGATTAAATACCATTATTATAACAAAACGTTTACTAATCCGAGCTATGAATTATTTTTTATTAATGTAAAAATTTAGAACAGGTCGATAATAGGAAACTGTGTAATCAACCACACGCGCTTCGTCTTACTCGAAACTAATCAGCCGGATGTACCTGGATCTCATCGATGATGTCTTACGTCAAAACTAGAAGCTAGTACTTTTCACTTGAATTACCAATGCGTTGTTCACTGAGCTATGGAGTTCAGATAGCCATAATTCAGGATGTATAGAAACCCAAAAGCACACAATTTCAGTCCTGAATATCTCAAAGCAACAACTTACCATGTGTACATCAGTTGTTATTTGGATACTATTTATTGGTGACTAAAAGCATATTTCACATAATCTAAGTTTGAATTCACATGCCTAACATATCCTGGAATTTTTACTGAGAACAAAGTATACTGTTCAAGTTATTCAATAAAGTCACATCTTGTTCATTAGGGTTACCTTTGCCGTAAATCGATATGAGTAATGTGGTCAAACTTTGTGAAATAAAACCGGATGGTGACATTTCTCACATGGGAAAACGAATGTTCTACAGGTTTGCTTGTCTATAATGAAGGTCTTTTTAAGTAGGTCAGTATCAAGCACTAAATGATAAAGATCATCCTATTAGTTTTCTTTCTGAATTTCACTTGATTCTACGTAGGCGTCTGGATCAAATATTTATGTTATTTGCGTTTTAGATAGCCTTCTAGTTAGTTGACAATCTATTATGATACTGGATACTTTAAAACTCGGACGAAAACACAACCATTTTCAACAACAAGTAAGTACAACATGGGGATTCACGCATGGGCAAAAGAAAAACAGTTGCAACATCTGATTTGATTTAGAAACTTCTATCGGTAAACAGTGAATCAAAGATACTGGCTATTGAAAAGCGTCTGTGAAATATTATTTCTGAACAACCATGATCTTGAGTGTGTACGTAAGACAAACTTGTCATAATATATCCAGAACTTAGTGATCAGAATATCCTACTATAACAAAAGTTATGATTCAAAATGTAAAATACTGGATAGCGGTTAAATGGTCTAAAAGCTAAGCGCTGGCAATGTGTACTGATGAAGGGTTCTACACTGGGACGAAACATTTATTCAAAGCTTTCTGTTATTTAATAGTTTTCTAACTAATACATCATTTCATAATATACATTACATAATTCAACAATCTCAGCAAACCCTGCATTCTAATCATTCATTTGTATGGTTTATTATGGCTTTGAGCCAACATGTCATTCATTGTAATTATCTTTTAATCATGTGATGTAGTTTACAATTATAGATTTTAAGTATAACTAATTACATACAATCAAATCTAGCATCAAGTAATGTGTAGAGATTGACGTAATTGGTAAGTAGTTAGAATAGTAAAGATAAGTTCATTCAAGCTATTAATAAAGTCTCTCGCCAACTCCAGTACTCTGAATGGATACATAAATGGCGTTCGCTACATAAACACATTTGAATTAGAGAACTTGAAATTTGGTCAGATGATTACCATGGTTGTGCTTTTGTTTTATTAATAAAATATAATTTATGTATATTTAGCTAGAATATTTTCGTGATTATGGGGGTCTCTCAAAGAGATTGTTGAATTTGAAGTTTTACATTATAGACGAACTTTGGTAAGAAGACCATGGGAAATCAATAAACACTAAGTACATATTCTACCCTGGTATGCTAATCATGATGCTAACAAACGATGTATGCCTGTGAGGAAGATGACGTACAACTAGGCTTCATGAAACATTATAACTAAAATACTTTATACATTTTGTTCCCTTTATCAACTTGAAACGAGCAAGAAGAATACTTTGAAGCTCATTTATTTATGAATTTATTTTTGATGAAATTTAGACATTATTACCGTTAGATTCCCGTTAGGTGGTGTGGAAGTCATGCAGTTTTGCCCGAAGTCGAAGGTTTTGGTTTCTATCACCGATGGCGGGATTGTGGGTGCGCACTCCTGAAAGTCCTAGTACTATGGTAAAACAACCGTCTAGTGCTCCCGTGTTTTGAATGGTGGTCTAACTAAGACCAATTCGTGGTCGTTTCACCTTAGTATACGACCCATCAGCAGTGCATATCCACGACCCTGAAATCAGTGTTTGAAACGAGAACTTTGTCTTGCGCGCGAACGCTTAACATCTAGACCACTGAGTCGGCGTCCAACGATGTCGGTTTCTAGCTTGAATTAATCTAATATATTGTCCTCGCTGAGTAACTGCCTCTCACCTGACCTGGTTGAACTCCACCGATCACAGCTTCTTACTAGAACTTAAAAAATTCCCTCACGAAGCTAATCACTATTCGCACATGATAATTATCAGTACAGAAGTAAAAAGTTCACTTAATCTCATTAAGATTGTGAACCGATCTAAGTTAGACCATCATTAAAATCCTGTAATCACTAGACGACCGTTTCGCCCGAAAATGAGACTCCTCAGCAGTGAGAAACAACGAAATCGAAGTTGATTATTACATAATAATTAATCAATGTTTATATCTCAGCCATATAATATAACATCTGTGATTGTTGAGTTTAGTAAAGTGAGTTTAAATTGATTAATGAGCATCACTTTTCTCAAGATTATGGATACACTTGGTTAACACATACTAACTAGCCCAAAACCTCTTCGATCAACAAATGCTTCATGTCGGTTGTCTTTTACAAGATAACATACGAAGGCAATCTATATCTATACACGTTGTTATCATAGTCGAAACTTTTAATGAGAAAACTTATCAAGAAACAATTTATCTAATATAATGGAAAAAACGCATAAGTTCGAGTTTGTCGAAGCCTATGTGTTCAACTGATCAGTTGTATTGATCTGGTTTAGATATTGAATAATTAGCCTAGATTGCTTCTACAATACAGCTGCTTTACAATCAGGATAGAGCAATAACACAATAGTTGAACAAACTTTCATCACTCAGTTCAGTCCATTACTTTTGCGGTCATATAGATTAACAATTTATCCAACTACCTGGAACCTATAGAAGTATACTGCCAGTCCTAAATCCGGATAAAAAAGGAGGGTTGGACATGCGAATAATTAACTTGTCTAGTAGAAAAGAAAGTTGCCGAAAATTGGCAACTAGAAAAATCATTCAAACCATCTAAACTCCTCCCTGGAAATTGAAGTGTTATAAAACCTCACGAGGCCAGTTCCCCTTCCTACAACCAATCCAACAATTAGTATAAGTACATGTAATGAATGATTGAATATCATTCAGTGCTATGTGCCTACAAAACAATAACAGTAAACACGATAATGATCAGTAATTACTCATTATGTAATGAACGAGAGCGCATGTGGGGACAATGAATGTATTTTAATACAAGAATACAGAATCCTCTGGTAAAATGTGAGAACCATACATCCAATACTTCATTTGCAAATCTGCCATTCACCATTCCTTCATTGCCATAACAACTACTCTCTGTTCCCATTCTCTTCGGTTCAATCTTCTCAACCTTCCTCTGCTAGGCATTCCATGTTTTATATACTACTTATTTCGACAGACATAAGTAGCACATACCACAATCACGCTACTAATAACTTTAGGCAGAACAGTTCTGAAAGTTCGAAACCCCTTATAACACTGTCGTTTTACTTTTCTTTTTTTTTATAAAAAAACAATATTTAGTAAGAAAAATTGAGCAAATTTTATTCGCTTCAGTAAAACAAAATCGTTTTGATTTAGTTAGTCGAATAATAGACGGTCATAAATGTGATATTAATGTAAGAGATAGTTTTGATCGAACACCATTACATTTGGCTGCATCATCTGGAAATTTACCAATGGTGAAATTATTAATAGAAGGTAGAGCATTAGTTGATCCAGTGGATAAAGTAAGTCATTATTCATTTCTTTTTATTGTTATTGTTGTATTTACTATGCTATCTGATGATAAGAATCGGTGTTGGAGATGGTTGGAAGACAGTTAGGGGTGGCCAAATCAAATCGTGGCATCAATCCGTGAAGTCACTAACTTCTAGTCTGAGCCATGTTGGTAGATGCAGACTGCTTGGTTGGAGTCCATGTGACTATCGTACCCAATGGTTGGAGACTCTGGGTGACACGGCTCAGTGTCGGTGTATACACTCTCTGTCTTCCCTTAAACTAAGAGACTAAAATCGCCTTATATATTCCTTTCTACGAACTAATTCTTTCTTCCTGTACTATATCCTTATATAAAATCTTTCTTTTATATATTACCACCTCTGAATTAACTACTTCTATGAATTTGGTGTTCATCATGTTGTGTTAATGAGGTATTTCAACTTGGACCCATGCATATATGTGCCTGGTCCTACGTTGTAACTGACTGACTGACTGATGATAAGAAGTAGTAACCCGAAACATTGTCACGTTACGTACTCTATAACTTGATGTATACTGTTATCTTGATATGAACATGTTCTGTTAGATGGGGGAATTTTAAGTCCTGCAAAGCAAGGGTGTTTTTTTCCCAAGAAGTTGAAATATTTATTTACCTGATGTTATTTCTTGAGTGATCATTGAAGTTTGACTTATATGAGCCAATATATATATATATATATATATATATATATATATATATATATATATTCTGATTTATAATGCCACAACTGGTATTGTTATGTCCCGATAAGCATAATGATTGGTAAATTTTGGGATCCATTTATGGACCATTACTATGCATATATTTGTATCGTATAATTGTTATGTGACTTATCGATCGGACCAATGACGCATAAAAGAAGTACGAGCACTGTAAAGTCCTTATCGGTCCTGCTTCCCGCCTAGCCCTACTTGTTAAGTCCAGAACACCAATCTCAGCCTTTGTAATATGAATCATGTATTTCAAACATACTGGGTTTATATACCAACCAGACAGACCACATCGTACCATAAAATAGAAAACAACAGTTGTGCAAGACTTAGCCAAATGTGGGTATGAATGAGGGAGATAGTAGTTAATGGACAGGGTATAATTCAAGAGTGGTAAATCGTATAACAATAGTTCATAGGTCAAAATAAAGTTTATAATAAGAGGAATATGAATAATCTAGTTACATAACAATTATACGATAAAGATATATGCATAGTTTTGGTCCATAAATGGATCCCAAAATTTGCCATTCATTATGCTTATCGGGACCTAACCGACTGAGATGCGGATCAGTCCTATCATCATCTGCTGCACAAGTTGGAACCACTACGGATAGGCCGTAGATAAGATCTTGCTGGTAATGAATCACAATATATACTGTGTATTGACTAAAGTAGTAAACAACATATGCTGTTAATTTCAGGCTCACCAACTAAATCAGTTAGGGTTTATGTTTATTAATTCAGTTATAAGACGTATTTGAATCTTCCTGTTGTTGATGTTGAGGGTGCACATATGTGCCTGGTCCTACGTTGTAACTGACTGACTGACTGACGGAATACTGCCCAAGTGCTCAAACCGAAACCATCTGATCAATCATAGTCGTTAACATCAATAATGGAAAGATTCAAACACGTCTTACAAATCCATTAAAATTCATATTCGTTACACAAATGACTGACTGTTTGAAATCAGTAGCTCAGTAGGTAATACATTGGCCGTTTCAAATGAATCCTAAAATAAAGATCAATATCAGGGTACAGATATACCAAGCTGACTAGTCTTCAATAAAACCAAACATACATCCTAGATTTAACTACTAGTCAATATTAAAACTATTTAAAAAATGCTTGTGTTTATTGGATTAACATTTTACAACTGGAACCAAACAGCAGACTAGTATTGTCTTTTACTTTCTCATCTGATTTCCATCATGTGCTCAGTCCAATGATGTGAAGATATTTACTTCATAATGGATACTATGCACTAAACAGTTAAATCAACTTTATTGAATATAGTTACCCAATAGTTACTATCATTGTTTTTTTTGTGTTTTTTTTAATTTTTCAGTTTGGTATTACACCATTATTTTGGGCTGTTTATAACAATTATAAAAATGTAGCTCATTATCTACTCAATATGGGGGCTAAACATAATCGAGTTACTAAGGTGAGTAGAATTTGTATCATTTTTTGTTTGTCATGATATCCTAGGGGGGAATAAACCACCAGAGAGTGTTATTAATTGATTATTCACTGAGTTACTGACTTATGTTATGTTTATTTATAATTTAATGTTTATTGAGATTTTTCAGTAAGGTTGAAGGCATTCGGCAGAAAAAAACTAAAGATTTAGGTATTCGTCTTGGTTGGTACTCAACAGAAAGGCGTACCTGCCATCTTGAAAGATCTGAGATTAGAACCTCAATCTCATAGTCCGAGACTTCACCTCATCATCGCCGGTTTGCCTTGTTGATTAGTGTTTACCAACAGGAGATCTACATTAAACATGATTTCATGCTTACTACTTCAAACTTCATAAGTCTTTTAAGAGTCTTTTTCATTGTTGGCGCTGAAAACTGCAATTGATCGGTCTCTTTTTGGCAATATTTTCAAGTAGTCTCTGACTTGGGTTGGAGTTCAAGACATACATTTCTTCCTGTCTTGAACTTGTTCACCTTCAACCACACATTAGTTACATGTATTAATATCAATAGCTAGAAAATATAAACTCATCCAAATACTTTCAGATCCGTTAGACAAGTTAGTGCTATCCCAACTAACCAGCCTAGTAGATAACATATTGTCATTAGGGTCGGAGGGCAATAAATTAGAATTTCAGTGTAGTAAACATTAACACTGAGATCCAGATACATTTAAATGACGAGTCCCAGGTGAGACGAAACAGTAGTTTTGGATTTTATTTCTGGTCACCACCTAACAAAACAATGTGTCTCGGCTTAAAATTCCTTATCATACTGAAAAATACAAATATATCAATGAAGAATATTCTTTTTCATATTCTACACAGATATACTTCAAAATTGGCCATGTTTAAGGCAAATACAACGTTTACAACTACAACATATAGTGTTAATATCAGTACGAGGGTTTTTTGGAGATCATGGATTTTTCATAGATCTTACACCACGAAATGATCTAAGTTAGATCACCATTAAAAACCTAGAAGCACTTGACGGGTGTTTCGTTCTCGTACGCAATACTGTTGGGTTCGATTTCCGGATGCACAATTCTAGATGCTCATTTCTGAGTGTTCCTAAACCAGGACAAAACGATCGTTTAGTGTTTCCAGGTTCTAAATGGTGATTTACCTGATATCCATTTATGATTCGAAGACTATGAAAATTCTTAATGTTGCAATAACTATTATGCAATGTCAATAACTTAAATATAGTTTATACATCAAATGAAATTGTCCAGTTAATAGTCAGAACAAAGATGAGGGTCAAAAGATCAGACAACGTAAGTACAGATCAGATCAAATGTTTTAATGAAAGACTATTCTGTGTATAAAGTGATACAATTCCATTAAGATATATAATTAAGATTACTATTGATATATTGACCATGAGGCTGGTCAAAGTTAACTGGTTGGATATATTTTCCTCTTCACATACATAACTCCGTTATCTTTTCTAGAGTTTGGATGGTTATTACTCCTAGTGTTTAAAGGACTTTGAGCTAAACCGTGTTGGGTAGAAACAGGTATCTAACTTAGTACAATGGAAGATGGTCACGGAATTTCGTGGATTGGTTAAGGTTAGACATTAACACCGTTTGATGCCAGATCACTAGTCTAGAGGTTAAACGTTCACGATCGAGACTGAAGATCCTGGGTTTGAGTCCTGCGAACGGAGTCGTGGATGCGCACTGCTGAGGAGTCTCACAATAGAACGAAACGGCCATCCAGTGCTTCCAGGTTTTCAGTGGTGGTCTAACATCAATCGGCTGATGATCTCAATCAAAAAAACTTAATAATCTCCGCAACCCTATACTGACTTTGAGTTTGATTGATTTTTGGCGAAAATTACCAACGTGATGAATTACTGTCGACAATAAACTTATGCTGATATCATCTATTCTGACTATTCAATTCATTATTATCGTTTCACGTACAAAATTAGACTTCGCAGATGATCTGGCCCTTCTATCCCAAACGCAACAACAAATGCAGGAGAAGATGACCAGTGTGGCAGCAGCCTCAGCAGCAATAGGTCTCAATATACACAAAGGGAAGAGTAAGATTCTCCGATAAAGCACAGTATGCACCAATCCAATCACAATTGACGGAGAAGATTTGGAAGATGTAAAAACCTTTACATATCTGGGCAGCACCATTGATGAACACGGTGGAACTGATGCAGATGTGAAGGCGCGGATTGGCAAAACAAGAGCAGCATATCTACTACTGAAGAATATCTGGAAATCAAAACAACCATCTGTCAACCAACACCAACGTCAGGAGTTTCAATACAAATGTCAAGACAGTTCTGTTGAATGGGACGGAAACTTGGAGAACTACGAAAGCCATCATCCAGAAGATACAGGTGTTTATTAACAGTTGTCTACGCAAAATACTTCGTATCCGTTGGTCAGACACTATTAGTAACAACCTACTATGGGAGAGAACAAACCAGATCCCAGTGGAGGAAGAAATCAGGAAGAAGCGCTGGAAGTGGATAGGACATAGATTGAGGAAAGCACCGAACAGTGTCAAAAGACAAGCCCTCACTTGAAACTCTCAAGGCCAAAGGGAAAGAGGAAGAAAAAAGTACACATCACGCCGGGGAATGGAAATAGACATGAGAAAAATGAAGAAGAATTGGATGGAACTAGAAAGGAAGGCCTAGGAAAGAGTGATTTGGAGAATGCTGGTCTGTGGCCTATGCTCCATTAGGAGTAACAGGCGTAAGTAATTAATTAATTAACGTACAAAATTATTCAAATGATTACCATTGAATAATAGTAATTTCAATGTTAACAAACAATCCCGAATGCCTATATTCCATGGTTTTAAACGACGTATTTGCCTTAAATTTGACCATATTTTGGCCAATTAATTTAAAAGTATACCTGTGTAGAACGTGACATTCTTCTCCCAGTGGATTTGACAAGACAATGTAATTTTCATAGTTTAAATCACGAATTGATCATAGCTAGACCAGTAGTAAAAACCCAAAAGGTATTGGACAAGTGTTTCACTTTACTATGAAACTAATCATTAGTACCCATTCACGATCTCTCATCTGTAAAACGAACCCAGGACTTTTAGTCTCGCAAGTGAATTCTCAACCTTTAAATCACTGATCTAGCGTCGAACAGTGTTTATGTTTGACTTCAATCAATTCACAATATTCTACAACCATATTCAATTGTCTTCGGCAGGTAACTGCCTCACATCTGGCACAGTTGAACTCCACTGGTCTCATACTAAAAAGGAACGGCTATCCAAAGATTTCAGGCTCTTTATAGTCGATAACGACTTTTTTTCAGTAAAATTAAATTCTTTTCGTGATACTCTTCACTGTTTCTAAAATGAATCACAGTTTTTTTTATTTTATTTTTAATAATAAAGTTCATATGTGTACAATGTCAAAGTTGATCATCATTTCTTATGTTGTATTGTGCAAAACTTATCGATCATTATCTGTTTGTAGTCTTTCTTTTTAATGATAAAACTGTCTCCTTTTGTACTTTTATTGTATGTGTGTGTGTGAAGGTGACAGAAAGAGAGAGAGAAATAGATGAACAGAATGTGTCAATAGTATTGTTTTATTAATGAAATGAAATGAAAAGTGAGAAGTAGTGACCAGTGGACTTCAATTAGGTCTATTGTGAGATAGTAACTCACTGATGACAATGATGAATGTGTTGCTCAATTTCGTGGAATGGTTGGATTTAGACATTAACACCGCTAGATGCCGGCCAGTTCAGTGGTCTAATGATCAGGCACTCGCGTGCGAGACTGATAGGTCCTGGGTTCAAATCTCCTGAGGTGAGGTCGTGGATGCGCACTGCTTAAGAGTCCTACAATGGGAAAAAACGGCCGTCCAGTGCTTCCAGGATTTCCATGGTAATCTAACTCCAAATGACTCATGATCTCAACTACTGAAATTACCATAATATCCATAAAAGCCCCTTCTGAAAGTAACTAAAACAATTATTGCACAAATGGTACAACTAATTAGAATTGAGTTACAAAATGTAATAAAGAGATGATATAATCGTCAAACTTTAAAATAATATAACTGTTTTACCATGGTGACAAGAGTTTTACCACATTTTTGTTTTATATACAAACGTTAGGTCGAAAGCGCCTCTTCAAAGCGGCGTATAAGTGGCATTTGCTGCTTATTGATTACTTTAAACAGTTTTGTGATATCCAGGTCATGTTCACTATTCGTTAAGTGTCTAGTGATTGTACTTGTGACTACTTCACTTCATTTCAAACGAAGAGTTTTAGGAATATGTTCGGAAAATCTTGTAGATGCCCTTCTTTCAGTCCTTCCTATGTACTTGCTTTCATAAGTACATGTAAATTTATGAATATATTTGAAAACGACGTTATAACTGTATTAATCGACTTTTCGCTGGTTTGAACAACATCTACTGTTATGCACTGAAAATAATCGAGCTTCGGCAAGGCTTCTTTGAAGCTCTGCTTTATTCCTTTAAGTGATTCTATTTGAAATTTCATCTCCGTTTGAACACATTTATAACACTGCCTTGGTGCCCAAACCGAAAATGTCGATTTTTTTAGTGAGACCCGACCGGAGTCTACCACGTAAAGGTATGATCCACAAGGCAGTGGAACAACGTCAGGAGATACAATCACATAGTAGCCGGTGACCAACGATTGGTTCATACACTATTTGTTCCTTCAGGATACTGGAGCCCATGTGCAGCACTAGTTAGGAATCAGGGTTTTCCAACCCCACTAAGTGGGTCCTCCATATCCATCAATTCGTTTAAAGCGCTGGACATTCGCTTTTCGTCCTCTCCGCCTTGAGAAGACAGTGAGTAGGTCTTCTCTGACAGCGAGTGTATACGCGTGACCATGTGAGAGTAGTTCGACAGAGATAGATGACTCTCTTCGCCTTCGGTCTTACCAGGACATTTAAAGGCAAGATAGATGAAGATGGATTTTTGGTTAATAATTGTTTGCTTGGAGCTTTCCGTGAACATTTTTTCGTTCTTCATGATACAATTCGTTGGATATCCATTTTTTATAAAGTATTCCTTAAGGTATGGCATTTATTCCATTATTTTATGGGTTGGACATAATTCTCTAACCCTGTTAAATTTGACTTGATTACGGTAGGTAAAACGTTGCTGATATAAACTGAATTCGTCTACAACCGATAAGAAGTCTTAAAATATAATAGATTCACGTTATTCTTGTTGTCCTCACTTTGTTTAAATTTTTATTGTTGAAATCACGAATTGATCTTAGCTAGATCAGCACAGCATGGGACTCTTTAATATTAAGCACCCGCGACCCTATCATCAGGAATCGAATCGAGGACCTTCGGTCTTGTGCATAAACGATTAACCTCTAGATCGTTGAGCCGGAATTGAACAATGTTAGTGTTTTAACTGTAAAAATATCACAATTTTGGAAAATTTTTGATACTAAATATTTAGATTTATCAAGGAATCAGTATGTGAATGGTTATAGTTAATTCGCTAAACAGTTATCGTTGTTTTCATCTGCTTATTCTAGCCAATTTTGGTAGGTTGTATTCCTTCTCTGTTGCTACATAAACATCAAACGTATATTTATCAAGGACACAGAAGTCCTGCATAATTATTCAAGCGTGGTCTGGGTTATTGCCCGGTTACAAAAACCATAGTAGGTGGTTTTCTTTGGAGACCACTCTCCGAGATATTAATCTAAGTATCTAATCTATAAGAAAGGGAGGGGAAATGCTAAGAGTTCCCGTCCCATGGTAGTCAGAGACCAAAATAGGCTCATACGGTATTCGTTTCCTCAGAATCCTGGTGTCTGTGTGCACCATTGTTTTAAATCAAGATTTTTCAGTTTGTGTTCTTTGAATCTCACTATTATCACAAGTTTTTGTCACTATGGTATGGTAGATGCCTGTGTAGAAGTGTCATCTGCTCGTCACAATTTCTTGATTGGGTACTTAAAGATGAAACAACTCAGTCTCTCTACACGTTGCACTTCATCCTTAAACGAAAAAAATTTATCTTGGCTGTAATTTTAACTTAACTGTACTATAATCCTTATCCCTTCATTATTTCTTTACAATGTTACCACGTCATTTCCTTCTATTTTCTGATGAATATTAAGTTGATAAATCAGGCTTGGCGCATTTCAGAGTAGTGTTTTTTATGGGTCAGGGTCTGTCAACCCTATGTCGAACTCCTATCTTTTACTCTGGCTGGAAGCCACCAGTAACCCCAGAAATGTTTCAGATAAAGTTTATTAGGCATTCTAATTAATTAAGCCTACCACGTAATTCCGTTAGAATGTTGTTATTGTTAAGGTGAGAAGTTCAACAATGCTAAAAATGAGTCATTTGTTTTGCTAAATAGAATTGAATGATGTTTTAGTATACCGTGAATCAATTAAAGTTGGGTCTAAGAAATAGCGAACTTCAGGATTACGTACCCGCTCCGTGAGATTTGAAACAGTTGTTCACATCTTCTACCATTTACCTGTATTTTGGCTGCTGTCAGTCTGTGACAGAAAACATAATGATATGGTTGGATTATAGATAGAAATGTAGTCTACGGTATGCGTTTCATTATATTCGTCATTCTTCAGCTAGACTGAACTTAATTAATGCTGATGATCGGAGTGAGATTAAAACCAAGTAACTACCAGGATGAATGATGCATCTTGGGTCCCATTACTAGCAACAATCTATTTATCTCAAAGCTCTATTCACCCAATCTCTAAGGGATCCATACATGCAAGGTAGGTGGTGATATTGTTTATTTACTCAGATTTGTGATTTGGTGAATTTAGATCGCCGAACCGATAACATGAAACGGATGTCAGCATAAAAACATTTATGACTCACTGAAAGATCTAGTTATAAACTGATCTTTGAAGTGTATTTGCAAAACATGGTGTGCTTCACGACAATAAAAATCGATTATAAACGTTTCAGATCCTATAAACTATTTAGAATCAATTTACACATATTTCATTATCATTATTTCTGAATGTATGAATTCTTAATTCTGAGTGTTTGTTTCCTCATCGACTGAAGCGGCTTACTTGTATCCAGATCATTTCTTATGAGGTTATTCTCAACGTTTCCAATATTCATTAAGTGTGTCGTACACTGAACTTTCCATCGGATTCCAGTTTCTATAGTGAGCGAATGCTACATATGACAGCAATTTTCATTTCTTTTTGCATTTTAAGTGACTGAAATTATCCATTGTTGTTTACTATGAACATGTCCAATGTAAATAACTCCAACATTCTTTAATATGTATTAGTTGCCTACTGAACTAATTACCTCTAGACTATCATTGAAAGACGGAAAGTAATCGGCAGTTGTTTTCTCCAAGTATGGAACTTCTTAACAATGAGCAACTGGAATAAAACCAATGACTTTTGACGTACAAATACTTAACTCCTAAACCACTGAGCCGGCATCTAATGATGCACATGTTTAACTTCAAAAAATCTATAATACCGCGCAATCTTCTTTCATTAGTTGTGGTGAATAACTGTTTCACACTCGACAATCATTGACTTTTACCGATCATGACTTCTCGATAGGATTCCCAAGGTTCCATCTTAAAGCTAGTCACTAGTGAGCACATAATTATTATTAATACAAGTGGATTTGCGGAAATTACAGAAATGTTATTGAAGATTCCTTTTACAAAATTTATCAATTAATGCAATCATTCATATCGATGAACTGATATAAAACGTACAAGTGTCTGACATTGAAATTCAAGATGTATATTTCGTCCTAACGATGACTCGTCAACTGGATGTATATGGATCATCTCAATATACATCAAACGGAGATTTGCATCACTTACCTTTATTTTTAATAATAATCACCACAACGCCATACTGATAATTACCATGTGCTCTATTAGTGACTAGCTTTGTGACGAAATTCTCAGAGTTCTAGTGAGAAGCCATGACCAGTAGAGCTAATCCGTGTCAGGTATCTACCTCAGTACGATTTAGGGTAGATTGGTTGATGTTGGACATTAGTACCATTGGACGCCGACTCAGTAGTCTAGAGTTTAAGCGTTCGCGCATAAAGCCGAAGTCCCTGGATTCGAATTTCGTGAGGTGGAATCGTAGATGCTCACTGTTGAGATGTCCCACAATAGGACAAAACGTCCACCAAGTACTTCCATATTTTCAATAGTGCTCTAACATCAATCAGTTCATGATCTCAAATAGATACAAAAACATTTTCTAAACTTAATCATAAATCTTCACAAACCACAATTGTTAATTGTTTGTTTCAAAATGTTGGCGGCCTGCTTGAGCATCTGGGCTACCTGTTCCTGCCATCTAGATATTTCAACAAGTTATCTATTGTTGTTTGTTTTAATATATCATTATGTTTATTAATCGCATAACCTATTCTGCTGCGTTTCTGAAAAGTGTACAACCTTTCGTTGTCAAAGTTACAGAAAACTCAATAAGAGACAATATGGTTGCTGGCAATGTACAACGAAAAGAATGTACATTATTCAGTTGTTCATTCACTGAAGTGCTAACATCTAACTGGCGATTCCTCAATATTTATCGCCAGGACCGACCAAGAAGAAAGAAACGGAAACTTGTTGAAATACTTTGCGCTGAGAATTCTATATTGTACCAAAATTATAATATTGAATAAAGCTAATAATAATAATAATAATAATAATCATGTGAGATGAATAGAGAAAAGAAAGAAAAAGAAAAGAAAAGAATTAAACGGATCACTCAAAACAAGTAACATGTGATGTATATTTACATTTTGATGATGATGATGATGATGACGATTGCCCTCTTTGTTGAATTGATTATTTTCATTTCTTCTCTTTTTTTCTTTTTCTTTCTTTTCTTTTTTTTCTTCTTTAGCAAGGTTTTACAATTTTGCATTTCATTTCTGAATCGAATGCTATTTCAATATTAAAATATTTACATCGTAAATCATTAACATTAGAATATGATGTTGCAGATAATGTAAGTTGTGTGGATTGTTGTTGTTGTTTTTCTTTCTTTTTTTGTTTCTTTTTTCTCTTTTTTTTATTTTCTTGTTAAACATAGATTTGTGTGTGTGTGAGTGTGCTGAAATAGAAAAAAACAATTTTCATTATTAAATGAATAAATTATATAGGTGAGTATAGTGATTTAATCATCTTGAAGGAATCCTAAAAGATGAATTTATGCTGAAGACTGTACAAAGATTAATTTACTTACTCGTGTAGAGCTAAATAGGTAGGTCAATCGTCAAGGCTACTGTCACAACACATTCGGTAGTATCTAACAGCATGGTTTAACAAATGTCAATTATATAGTCGACTCTTCAACATGTAATAGACATAGAACATTCAACGTCCACCTCATCCTTTGACATCATTTACAGAATACAGTCAAATATACTTTAGATCACTAACTCAGATGATCCACGTCGAATGATTGGGGGCCTGCTCAAATTAGACGGAAATGGTGTGACTGAAAGCCAACTTCAAAGTAACACCTCGTGATCACCACCTAACATGGATTACCTCTTCGTTGTATCAAGGTAGGATGGCTGCTTTGAAGACCGTATAACACGAAAGACGTCATTACAACAATGTATTAGTAAAGGTAGATACAAGGAAGCAGTTACAACCACCACCTCATGGGTCAGTCCATGGTGTGTAATTAATTGATGCGTGTTGGTTGTCCTTGACCTTCACACAAATCAATGATCTGTTCAATATTCAGTGACCCAACTGTCGGACCATTTGGCTAAGGCTCAATAACATTTCACTGACCCTACAATACCAACATATTTTACATCAAATAAGCTTTGGTCAACTGTAATGTCAGACTTTCGTTGAGCATACAAAAAGGATTTGTCAGATTCCTCTCTCTTACATTTGTAAATGAGGACCGTGATTTACAGAAGAGTTTGCATTATCTGTTTTCCAATGTTTAATACGTGTGAAATACCAAGCATTTTCCAACAGTTCTATGTTTATTTAGTTGGTGTATGCAGAATGTAAGAGCATAATTTTCACTAGAGACTTCATTCTATGCATGGACTTTCTATGGATCGGTATCTTTTATTTCGTGTAATGAGATTCGTTTCGTTGATCGTTCATGGTAGACGGATCTGTAGAAACCTGCAAGTGTTTGAGATTAAATTTTCAAGTTAAAATCATACTCCAACATACACGACTCATTCATGAAATGATCGCGAGAACACTCGATAATACTACCATACTGAAGACTTATTGAAGATTGTGAGATGGATGGATGAATTCACACTGCCTTACTACAGTTTATTATGTTTGTTATCAGAGTTGGTGTTTCCGCTTAGATCTCCTGACTACTACTATTGACATAACTCTGTCATTACAACAACAACAACAACAATACTCCAGGTACACCTTTCCCTTCTCATACTACTTAAATGTATTGCCTTAACAACTCTATTTCTCGATATAGCGTTGTGGAGACTGTTAAATTTTATTGAAATGACTAACCGATGAAAATCGATATGTTAGGCATTTGCATGTATGACTGAAGATCATTGGTTCAACTCGTGATTGTGGGTTGTGGATGCGTACTGCTAGGCAATCCCATACAAGGGTGAAATAGCTGTCCAATGATTATCTTACTTAAATCGGTTAGTCATTTCAATGAAATTCAATAATTTCCACAACTCCATACTGACAGTTCTATAGTTAATCAAACTGTATGAGGAGAGGTTATTTATGTATAAATAGTCTCAATTATTAACACATTTGGGTAAATGTGAGTATGTTTATGAACGGCTATTACTTAATCCCTATTTAGAGTGATTATGTGCTTCAGTTTAAATCAGTGACCACTTAGATATCATTCATTTAAATATAATTCAATCAGTTTCCATTGAGGATTCATCCAAGAGATTAGATAAACGATTTTCTCTCTTTATCGTTACTGTACGTTTGCAAGAACCTTGAGAACTGAAATTTGACATAGTTTCATCCTGTCAAACTATGAGGTGAAGTAATATACTAACATATTGGGCCAGTTACACATCAACCAAGAAATAAGCATATGTTATTGGTCATTAATTGCCTTCACTTTCCAAAGCGACTTTATTTTCTAAGTGAGAAAGATGTTTCTTTATGAATGAGTGTACACATGTTATCGATTCTTCTACCTTACTTTATATCATCTCACTTAAGTCACTAGTTTGGATTCGTGTGTAGGAAGCCTATACATCAGTATCAGTACTCGGACGATTGCACAATATAACACTTATCGTATTTGAATTTTATTTCTTTATTTAAACACATAAACACTGGTACAAAGAAGCACCAAGTACATGTGTGAGAGCTAGAATACTACCTTGGTACTCAAACCGATACAAGTTTTTTTCCTAGAGGGCCAATCGCCATGCTTTTAACCTAGAGGTCTGATCCAAAAGGCAGTAGAGAAGGTTTAAGCGATGTATTCCCATTGTAACCGGTGACCGACAATAGGTTCATACGCTATTTATTCCCTCAAGATCCTGTAGCCAATGTGTAGCATTAGTTTGGAATCAGGGTTTTCCAACTCCATTGAGTGGATCCTCCATATCCACCAACCCCATTAAAGCACCGAACATTCACTTTTCGTCTTCTCAATTTCGTAGACAACAGCTCCGCCTTGAGAAGAAAGTGAGTAGGTCTTCTCTGACAGCGGCTATATACGCGTGACCATGTGAGGGTATTTCGACAGAGAGAGGTGACTCTCTTCACCCTCAGTCGTACCAGGATATTTGAGGGCCTTATTTGGATTTACTTCACTTGATTCAATTCGAGAATGCGGAAAAAAGTACTTAAAATAGATAATGATACTTGAACAAAATTACCTTTGAATAGGTCTATGTTACCGTTGTTATTAGTAGTGATGAATTCATAGTTTTTTTTTCAACTTCTTGTTCTTCTACCACTTAACTATGCATCAGTCAATTGTTAGAAATAAAATTGAAATATTAAAATCCATCATCATAAGTGGATTAATTGTAGTAACTAATACCTTAATGTGTACATTCATACACTTACACATAGATAAGTAAATAATCATTACTCTTATTATTCCATACTATACATTTTTGTGATTAGATTTTTAAAACATCTCAACACAAGATGTTCAGCATTCCAATAGAAGTCTTGTCTTGATTGAGATCATGAATTGATTAATATTAGATTATCATTGAACACTTGGAAGCACTGGATGGCTTTTTCGTCCTAGCATGAGATGCTTTAGCAGTGCACCGCCTAGTGCTTCCAGGTTTTCAGTAGTGGTCTAACATTGATCAATTGATGATCTCAATTAAAATTCAACAATCTCCACAACCCTATACTGAGAAGTCTTGTGTTTCTTTTTGAAAACCTTTACATTGTGATTAGCTGTCATTCATATTCATTTTGTAATTGTTTGCTATCACTCTCGCCTCCACCATTCAGCATATTTATTGTATGAATTAGATTGTTCCTTCTTTTAAAGTACAAAGGAGAAGTAGAAGGAAAGTAGTATGAATCAGCTTGATGGAGTAATTTAACCACTCATTGAATCATATCATTGTACTTTAACATACAATCTACTTAAAGCACCATCTAAAATTCACTTTTGTTTTGGTTACATAATAGATCTTCTTTTTATTGATCGCAAACATTTTAATCAACAGTTGTTGCTCATTTCCATCTCGTTACTAAGATCATACATACATATTTGTTACTGTACTTTAAGTTTTGTGTTATCATCATTCTGATTGATTAATCCAAGGTCATCAGTATAATATACTTTTATCATTAGTAATAAATCTATAATAGAATGACATATAGCAACAGTTTATGAATTAGATGAAAGCTTACAACTTGGAGAATATAATATACATTTATCATTAAACGCGAGACCATAAACTATGGACGAACTAATCAGGAGTGAATGGGCGAGTTCAAGGTCATGGCACAGTTTTAGTAACCATTGCTCACGTACGATCGGTTTACAATGGATTTCAAGGAGGATGTTATAGTTGAGCGGATAGAGTAGATGAAATTGCTGAGAAGTTCCTTTGTTTGTGATTGTGGTGTTCAAATGACTACTGGACATTGTGGAGTCTATCGTGATGACGTTGTATTTTGATGTAATAAATGTTGTTGGAAAACGTCTGCTAGAACGAGGATTTTTCTTCACTTGATCCCAATTGACACTAAGATAGGTTATGATAACTGTTGCAAACTGGATAATAAAAGTGCCAGTAATACTGTTTGCAACCTTTGCAATTGACAGTTCAGTGGTATGAGTACTGCCGAAATATATGTGAATGAAAATGACAGGACTGAATCCGTCGTTTGAAGGATTCGAGAGAATCGTATGCATTACGATTACAGAATTGCAGAGTGTTTTTCTAGCCTTGAAAAGTTTTTAAACCGTGTTAAAGAAGTATATCCATTCTAATTTTTTTGGTTTTATATAATATATTCCTACTCTAAACCGACTGGCTGAAGTTTCCCAGGGTCACTTAAGATACACTCGAAGGCCTTCCATAAATTATAGACTCGCCCTGTCCTTTTTTCAATGTTCAGTAAAGGTGTAATATGTCTTCTATGGACAAGATATTGTAGTGCATTTCAACTTGCCAGATGAATTAAGTAAATTATGAGAAAATTAGAGCTTGAAATGAAATCTACAATGAAATTTATTTTTAATAGTTGAATTCATGAGTCAAGTGAAGCTAGAACACCACGAAAAACCTGAAAGGACAGTACGGCAGTTTCGTCCTATTACGGGACTCCTCAGCAACTGTGTCATTTGTCTACCGCGTAATATCATGGATTGGTTCAAGTTAGACTTTCATACTATTAAGTGCCAGCTAAATGGTTTGGAGGTCGAACGTTTGTGATAGTTCCAGAATATTTATTATCCAGTTTTAATTATCTAATGTAACAAAAACTGTAGGAAATTTATAAAGACAGGGATGGATATGTTTGTCATACTCACTAGACAATGATTACAACCAATGTAAGAACATGAATGAGAAAAAGGCTCCAACTATTTAACTGGTCTCAGTCACAACGGTAGACCACGGTTAACCGCTGACCGTTAGCCACAGCTTCCGCAGCTTTTAAAAACGTACGATTGAATTATGTTGTTGATTCCTTTGAATATATTCTAAGCATCTAGTTCGCTCCTAGTGTTTAATAGTTGGCTTGCTATGAAATTAAAGAGAGAATATCAAGTCATCGAAGAAGTAGGTTCTTGAAAATATGACTGTCTTTACTGTTAACCTTGTATAAAGATTATTTTCCCTATCAGTAAATGAATGAATACATAGACTGTAAAACGACGATTCACGAAAGACTAGAACATTCAGCATTAAAATCACCAAACTAAACTCACGATTAAATGATAACAGTTTACAGATCCGATGAAAACTTCAGATGATGACGGGAATGGGCACAATAATTTATTTTCTATTGTTTGTTTGAATTTTCCAATTGATGTTTAAGACTGTAATTGACCAGTCTCTTATTGACATAGATACATCCTGTATGTATTGCTTCGATATTACCTTAAGTCACAATCATCAACTCTGAGATGTAGATACATTCAGTTGACGAGTCTCGGATGGGACGAAACACGCGTCTTGAATTTCATTGCTAATCACCATTAATTTTTATTAAGTTTGTCACTTTGCACTTGAACTTGTTCATGATAACACTTTTTTTAATAAATTTATTTTATTAGAATGGAATGACTCCATTTTTAATAGCTGCTTCCAAAGGAAATGAATTATTAATGGAGATTTTGGTTAAACGAAACTGTAATGTGAATGCAACAGATCTGGTAAGTTAGAATGGAATTTATATACAGTTTAAATGAAATGTTATGCTTGAATTATTTGGTGAGACTAGAATTTATGGACGAAACCAATCAGGCGTATAAGATAACAGATCTGGGATTTTGGCGCGAAATTCACTCATCCATTTGGATAAATAGGGTCTTGTCATTATAACTGCATGTCGGTTCGTGATGGAAACCCGAAATCTAATTCCTAACCTTAATTGTCAACTGTAAATGAGAATTCTAATTCCTCACACACAGGTTCATAACCCTCATTTGATCCTAGTTATTAGGTGAACACTCTCAAGTTCATTCTGGTGTCGCTCAACGGCCGTCCATTAATTATAGTCTCACCAATTATTCTATGAAAGCACAATATAATAGTTATATCAATGAATTTAACCTAGTACAAACATATTTATCGTCTATGATAACACGTCGAATAGAGCTAAATAGATGTAATAGTTCGGCTTACATGTCATGATGATTCAATAAGGCTATATTGGCTGGAGCACATACTGCTTCTGGTTCTACCATAGTAGATAGGTTAGTTGGAAGGCTGTAAGACCAAAGTAACAGAGTAATAATCCTGGGACAATGTTGTACTTTTGATTGTGAGATTTCCTGTCAGAAACCAGTGTCTGTAATGATGTCGTCTCCCCATCACAGAAGGGGGTTTGAAATGTTTGGAATATCAACAGAATATCTCGTCTTAGTCCTATTGTGGTGCATACTACTTATGTCTGTCGACATAAGTAGTATATAACACCAATTAGAAGTGTTATAACTTGTGAATTGAATGCTGATTGTATTAGCTCTTTCAATGCTACTTTTTATATCTGGTCGTCGCTGATTGTTGTGTCAGAAACGCTTATCACCTATACTCGGAACGAGGAACCTCTGCAATTTCCACGACGCGAAAAGTAAGAACACAAAGACTGGTATAAGTGGTGATTTATTAACCCACAAAACACGACGACGACGACTCTAGTCGAAAATACACTCATTTATGTATTGATTGTACACACACTTTGATTAATAATTAGGATGAAATCACATATATGAAAAATACTTGGAGTTATAACAAATCACATAGTGAGCATAGTTCATGTCCATTGAATACAAGAATATCTCACATATTATACAGGATAGAATATCATACGAGAAAAGAAAGCAAATACTTCACTGAATGATCATCACATTGAATCAGAACGGAAGTAATCTTGAATAAAACTCATAATGAGTAAATCAAATCGAATTTTGACTTTTCTTTCCATCATCTCAAGAAGTGAAAGACCTGGCAGTAGAAGGTCGGAAAGTTCAAATCTAAGAGAACAGGGTCAGAGAGTAACTGTAAGAACGATAAAAGAACGACGACGTTTGAGAAAATTTCTGTACAACTTGCAAATGAAGTATTGAAAACCTGAAAGCACTGGACGGCCGTTTCGTCCAGTGGTGGTCTAACTTAAATCGGTTAATAATGTCAATAAAGTAGTTATATTCACTTTATTCACTGTTGTAATTACATTCTCTAAACCCATGTTACAGTTATCTCCAGTTTTTGAGTATTCGTTGAACATTCTTTTACCATGCTTTTGTGTTCTTAATCTCCATTCGATTGTTGATAGTCACTACTGAATTCAGACACAATTATCGATTGCCATTTACCCTATTGTATGTTGTAACTACCTTTTATGTTGGCATTAAAGGAAGTATTTGCGTTTCCAGACATGCCGACCTGTTAATCCTCATAGGTGTCACACGGGTAACGGCTTGTAACTAATTGTTATATTGATATATCTCGCGAGTCGGGGTCGTGGATGCGCACTGTTGAGGAGTCCCACAATAGGACGAAACGATCGTCCATTACTTCCAAGTTTTCCATGGTGTTCTAGCTTCAATTGGCTCATGATCTCTACTATTAAAATTACTATAATATCCACAAGCATCCGTTCTGATACCAATCAATATATGCTCACTAGTGACTGGCTTCAAGAGGTATTTCCTGAACTTCTAGTGAGAAACGGTGACCAGTGGAGTTCAACCGGATCTGTTGTGAGATAGTAACTCAACGATGAGAATGGTGGAAGTGTCAGTCAATTTCGTGGATTAGTTGAAGTTAGACATTAACATTGTTGGATGCCGGCTTAGTGGTCTAGATGTTAAGCGTTCGCGCGCGAGACCGATAGGTCCTGGATTTGAATCTCGTGAGTCAGGATCGTGGATGCACAATGTTGAGGAATGTCACAATAGGACAAAATGACCGTCCAGTTGCTTCCAGGTTTTCAATGATGGTCTGGCTTCAATTGACTCATGATTTCAACCATTGAAAGTTAACGAGTTGTTTAGATATATCGTTATTTTGAACCATGATTTCACACGTATCTCCGCCGTTTGATTGGATCCTTCAATAGATAGAACCATATGTATAGATTTTACATGTTATAAATTACAAACATACCTAAGACTATAATTGTAACATTGAATATACATATACAAGTTAGATCATTCTTATTTCATTATGGTATGTAAAGTAATTGGAACATTATTTATTACCATAGATATCATCTTCTTCATATTGCATTTTCTTAGTTTCTATAATTATTTATAGTTATATTATACTATTGATATCGATATTACTATACTACTGATAATTTAGCATCTCTACAATGGTTAATTGTTTTAAATTTGAACAATGTACTATCCATTTATCATTTAATGATGAACTTAAAATCTATAATTGACGTTTTGGTATATAATAAGGTTGATTATCAAGATAGTTGGCATAACTGATTAAGAATCCATACAAGCATATGAAACAATATTATTTTAGTATCAGAATGGATTTTTCTGTGTGGATATTATAGGAATTGCTATTGTTAAGATCATGAGCTAATTGAAGCTAGAACACCATGGAAAACTTGGAAGTATTGGACGGTCGTTTCGTCCTATTGTGGGACTCCTCAACAGTGCGCATCCACGACCCCGACTCGCGAGATATATCAATATAACAATTAGTTACAAGCCGTTACCCGTGTGACACCTATGAGGATTAACAGGTCGGCATGTCTGGAAACGCAAATACTTCCTTTAATGCCAACATAAAAGGTAGTTACAACATACAATAGGGTAAATGGCAATCGATAATTGTGTCTGAATTCAGTAGTGACTATCAACAATCGAATGGAGATTAAGAACACAAAAGCATGGTAAAAGAATGTTCAACGAATACTCAAAAACTGGAGATAACTGTAACATGGGTTTAGAGAATGTAATTACAACAGTGAATAAAGTGAATATAACTACTTTATTGACATTATTAACCGATTTAAGTTAAACCACCGCTGGAAACCTGGAAGCACTAGATGGCCTTTTTGTTCTAGTATGGAACTGCTCACTAGTGCGCATCCAAGAACTCGTCACTGGGGATCGAACCCAGAACCTTTGATCTCATGAGCGAACGCTTAATCTCCAGATCAATGAGCAGACATCCAATTATATTAATGTCTAACCACGATCAATCCTCGACATTGCGCGACCCTCTTCTATTATCTTCAGTGTGTAACTGCTTCACTCGACACGATTGAACTACACTAATCATGTTACTAGGGCTCTGGAAGTTTCCTCTAGAAACTAATTACCAGCGAGCATTTGATAATTGTCAGTATGTGGTTGTTTAGATCATTGAATGTCATTGATATTATGAATATTCCTATTCAATGTAAATGCAATCTATATTCATTAAACCGCACATTCAGAAATTATTAGAAATGAAACTGCTTACTGAATATTATTTAGTAGTATATTACTTAGTAATATAAAGCAATACATAGAAATAAGTTGAACGAGGGAAGAATGAAGACAGAATACATTTGATGAGAATAATCATTATTATCCTTAAATCATTTTAACTATTGTCTGTATCCTCATTTAGATTTGACTTAAATCTTCCCGACATCAATACTAATGTTTGTAGAGATTATTGAATGCCATTGATATCCCTAAGCGATCTAAGTTAGATAATTATTGGAAACTGAGGAGCACTGGACAGCTGATTTTATTTCTAATGTTGGATTTCTCAGTAGCGCACATGCACGACCAAGCCACCAGGACTTGTATCCGGGACCCTCATGTCTTTTCGAGAGGGGTTTAATTTCGAGATACTTAGCCATCATCCATTGATTTACATGTCTAACTTCAATCCATTCAAGATATTGTGTGAACCTATCCATCTGTCGTCTATAGATAACTGCCTCAAACCCAACACCGCTTAATTCTACTGCTTATGGCTTCTGAATAGAATTAGTCTAGATAAAATAACCGCATTCCTAGGTGTGAATTACTCAGTCGATTCCAATTTACGAATATGTTTTTTTATGAACAAACGAGTGAAAAAGATTTCCATAATAAAGTTTACCTCATCATCATTTCAAAACACCTCATCAGTTGGATTATAAATGGTTCAAAGTCAAGAAACGAACATGTCTGAATAACAGAAACAAAACATTTGACATAATGAAGTTGAGCAAATGTCTGGTTTACGTCACCAATTAATAAGTATTGTAAACCAGAATCTTTGAATCTCTGTTTCGTCCCATTATGTGATCTACAAGTTGTATGTATCTACGATGCCCCCATGGATTGAACCCAGGATTTCCTGATTTCTAAGTGCGGGTTTCAACTTTCAACTTACACATCAATAATAATCATTCTGTTACTCATGACTAGCCTAATAAAACGATTCCCATAGTTCTAATGGGAGGCATTGACATATGGAGCTCATACATATTGAATATGAGTCAGATGCTTATAAAAGGCTTAGAAAGATGGTTGTGCAATAACATGAATAGATTGACGTTATAATGGTAAACCGCTGGATGGTCTCCTAATAGTCTCAAGTCTTGTCATTCCCCTAGTCACCTTAACGTGATGTACTCAATCTGTGGTAGGTTATCATTTAGTACTTCCTGAATTTCTAATTAAGATCAATTCATGATTTAAACTATGAAATTTGATCATTTCTTCAAGCATTCCATGGTAAAACTGAAGTACAAATGTAACTAGTCTATATATATATATATATCTTATATTGGTTCTTGTTTTTCAGTATGGTCGAAATGCATTACACTTTGTCTCAAAAAATGGTCATATCGATGCATTATACTACTTATTGTCGGTGGAACTACTTAAAACAAAAATTGACGAACGAGTAAGTAATTGATCATTAATAGTTAAAACTAATCAACATTACATTTGATTGTTTCCTGTATAGTAGTTAACAACTAACCAAAAAGAAAGATGAATTCTCTAATGTAGGTAACATTAAATCTAGCATGATTACTTGTCGATCTAAGATAATGAGAAGTTCAACATTTAAAAGAATCAAGAATATAAATGGAACTATGGTATATGTGAATGGTGTTAATATATATCATCTAATATCTCCCAAAATTGATCCTCAGCATTGCTCAGGCACCGACACAGATAGTGTCAACACCTATCATCATCATCATCATCATCACTCAGATTAGAAATCAATAACCTAATGGATCGACATCATATTAAGAATTAAGAACGATGTAGTACATCTATTACCTCACAAATTTTGGTTGTATTTCAGAACTTAAAGGCTAAAGAGAGTTGAAAGTAAAACCTACTTGACTTTCGGGTTTATACTGGTTGGTAGTCATCAGTAAGACGTGACTAAAATCTCGTGCTAATCGATTCACTATATTGGATTATATCCTGTATTACTCAGTTTTATGGTTTGAGACGTTAACACTGACCTGATTACTTGCAGTCGCTTGAAATTTAAACACAGAGAATATGATATCTATTCAACTATACTAGTGACTATATTGTAATAGTAATCTTCTCAGGGTGCATATGTTCCAGTAAAAATAGAATAACAACAATTTTGAATATTAACAAGCAAATAATATAAGTTCTTATATATGACCAAATGTTAGCTGACCACATTAGTGTTATATGAACTCAGTAGCAAAGTGGATAATATGATGTTTGACTTGGGAGATACAGTATTCAGATGTTAATATGATGAACATTAATGCTTAGGTGCAGATCATTTCAACCACCAAGTCTAAAATAAAACGAAATGGACATCCTAGATTCCAACGTTACCATTCAATGTCTTGCTTTGCTTATTACTGTAAATATTTGTCAGTAGTATAATTCTATATAGAAAATAACTCTCATTTCTCCCCTGGATCCGAATACTTTCTATTCAAACCCTCAAAAAGTTTTCCACTTAGTGAGTCTTTTCCGTACAAACCTGTGACATAATGGCTATAATAAGGTAATCCATAAAGAATGCACAGATGTTAACTAAAACTGATCAAAATTTAGTCAAAATATCGACAGTGGGATAAACCTAGAACACTACAAATTCAATTAGAATTCATACCCTGTGCCCAAGTAAATGGCTGACTGAAATGAATAGATAAGTGAGTGATACGCTGGGTTTTTGAAGCGAAAGGTAGTGATTCCGAATTACAGCGTGAAACGGAAAGTCGTCTCTTTGGCAGTTATATGTAGCTAATGAGTTCCAAATAGGACGAAACGCTCATACTCGATTCCACTACTAACTAAATTTCACCTATTCCGTCTAAATAATCTAACTGTATTCTAAAATTTGGTTATGAGACTGTTTTATTTGGCAAATCAATCTTATCGTAGAAATTCGATGTTGAAATGATTAAAGCATCCAAACTTCTGTCTGTAAATCTTCAAGTTTAAACTTTACTTCGCCTAATTCGAATTGTCCTTCCTCAAAATGTTATCAGCTTCAATATCTATTTTTCCATCATCTTTGAACTGATAAGAAGGATTCATCAAGTTACTAAATGATAATTATTCACTTTAAAATCCGACTGAGTCTTAACAAATTCAGTTGTAGACTATTTCAGTGTATTATTACCTAGTTTATTTTGATAATTTCTGTTGTATATTAATATAATATCTGTTTGGTAAGGACGTTGGAAGTGTGGATAGATAGTACTGAGGGGATAGTGTTGAAAAGTAATTGGATACGTCCCGACCGTTGTTGCTATCTTGACATGGTGGTCGGGATGGCATATCGTGATGAAGCAACTGAGCTATACTGGCTGGAACGATCGTTCCTCAAAGTCCTACCATGCCAGACAGGTCGGTTGAAGAACGGTAAGAATAAAAGCAACAAACCCAAGGTCCGAAGGCGAAGTCGTACTGCCAACTGTACAGAGGTGTAACGGCAGTCAGGTGTTTCTTTCAGACAACCAGCATAATAACAGCGATGCGGCCTTCCCACAAGAAGGGGTGGGGTTAGAAAAGGTCGACCCTAAAAATGCACACCTCGTCTTATCTCGCGGATATCCGTCTCCAGTGATAATGTCTCAACAAGTACGGAGCTAACACGAAAATTGCTCACTAAAAGGTCATGTGTGACCGACCTCAAGCAGTTGTCCCTTGGGCACTGCTGTCACGCTTTCAGATCCCTAAGACCACCTATAATCCAATTTCTTTTTCAGGTACCTCCAGAAGGACCCTTACACGGTGTGGGCAACTGGGAAATGATAACCTCCCTCATACCTTTAACAGCACTTAAGACCACTGAATTGGATACGTTCATCCCTTTCAAACACTTTTGCATTGATGTTTTTGCGCTGTAAAACAGGAGCAGATTATAACAGTGGTGAAAAAAATGTTCCAGTTGCAATAAATTCTCTTCTAATCAACCCAAAGTCTTTAACTTTCATTAACTCCGCCTGAAGTTCCTCCGGGGGCTAATGCCGGTCCCAAGCCCAGATAAAGGTGGAGGGTTGTGCATAGGGTTAGCGACCCCATCCCGTAGAAAATTAACTCGCTAAAAAAACGCTAACCAGAAAAAATTACTCAAACCACTTAAACTCTGCTCTTGGTGTCAGGTCTTCATTTGGAAGAGTTATGACACCTCGTGATGAAAGCCGAGTTCTTTCGGAAGTTACGAGGCTGATGCCCCTTCTGACAACCAGATCAACCATTTATTTAGGTACATGGAATGTTCGTACAATGTAGGACACCGGGAGAGCCTTTAACCTTTATTGGTGATACATTCCGACTGATACGATCAACTTATTTCTGAGATTAACGTACGCTTCTCTCCCATTAATCCATTGATTCCCTGATTCGATTATGAACAAGAAAAGACAGAAGCCTAGCTTCAATGATAATAGATTTTAACAACCCAGCTTCTATTTCAAATACTCATTAGCTTATATACATGATTTCTCGAACTGAGTCATACCAAATACAAAATCATACTTTGTATACAATTATGCTGTAACTGACAGAGAGTGGAATAATAAAACAAATAATGATAGCTAATATGTTCCCCAAAAGCTTACGATAAAGAGAATATGGAAATACAATGACAGTTATCTACTAATTATACAATAGAAGTGTCAGTAATAATAATTCATAAAGTAACCCCAAGAGTTACACTTCTACATTCACTCAGCTATAGCACTTGATATTGATAAATGATGATTATTTCAGTTAGACAATTCACAGTTGATTGATAACTAAACTGACTTACAACCAGTAGGTCCTATGTTCGAATCTCGCAGGGGGCGAGGTTGTGAATGCGCACTGCTGAAGAGTCCCATACTAGTACGAAACGGCCGTCCAGTGCTTCCAGGTTTTCCATGGTGGTCTAGCTTCAATTGACTCATGATTTTAACCAGTGAAATTTCTAAAATCTCCACAAAACGCCTTCTGTTAATGTTACTTTTGTCTAGTCCTTATTACTGAATGAATTTTATCAATTACATGACAATGTGAAAGCTGGTTTAAGTGAATCGATCTCATGTAGGTGTTCAGAAGTAATCAGGTCAGTTTTAATGCCTTAGACTGCGAAACTGATTAATATGCGTTCGAATCTCATAGGGAGCATCAGTGCTCTCAGGACTACAGGCAACAAGAAACCCAGATCAAGAAAGATTTCCTGAAGACTAACTAACAGTATTTGAATGTTGTTAATTTGTCATTTATGTAAAACTATACTTGCCTGGCATAATATATATATACGTACTGTCTTGTATTAATTTCATTTTAGGATTACTCAGGGTGTAGTCCATTACATTTGGCCTGTGAAAACAATCAACAACATTGTGTTCGACTACTTCTAGAAACTGGTGCCAATCCGGACATTGAAACAGAGGTTGGATTATTTTAAGTTTTCTGCTAAATTTCATAAAAACACGTTCATTGTTTTTTTTGAAAATAGACAATGACTATTATTATGATATCATCAAATGCCCTGGTACTTATGAGGGTAAGACAAATCTTCTCCACCTCTCGAAATTCCATTATAAGGGTGTTTGTGATTTACGCAAAGTGGGTTCTACTTACCGGATGGGCCATTTCATGAAAATGAAAGGACTAAAAGCAAATGTCCAGAGATTACACCGGATTGACAGATTAGGAGGGTCCATCCAGGGGATCTATAAAATTCTATTTCCAAACGAATGGTGTAAATAAGCTCCAGTATCCTTGGGTAACAAACTGCATGTAAACCTATTTTAGTCACTGGTTGTCATGGAACGCTCTCTACCGACGTTACTACATTACCTTGTGGATTAAAATTCTAGCTCGTAGGTTCGGGGAGTGTCCATGTAGTAAAACCAACAGCTTCTGTATGAGAACTCCGAGAGTAGCCTATCTCCTATATATGTTCTAGAAGTACATGATGTGGTGAGTCTGATAAACTGAAAACTGACGTTTACTGTCTCCTACTTTAGCTGCGTAACTTCTTTCCTCCTTCGTCAGTTACAGATGATAATATTCATTTGTGTGTACAGTCAGTTAAGTTTGCACCACAATCTCATCAAACATATTAAGAATCATTTTCGTTGAGAGGTTTTAGTGGAGATTACTATGATTTAAGAGTAGAAAGCTTTTGTTTTAAAAAATGCCATGACATTTTTAATAGTACCACTTGTTAAAACCAAAATAGAATCACGTACTTAGGGCCCTACCTTGAATTTCTAGTAAACTATTGTAACTCAGTTAATCAGCAACAACGTAAAATTTCGTACGTACGTACATCAGTTCGAGTTGTTATACCACATTTCCACACAGATACAATTATCAACTCAAACCCCATAGTAGTAGAGGTAGTAAGAGTATAAGCAGTAATCGGAAACATTAGGGTTTGAAGATGTTATTCAAGAAGTATAATCCAGTGAAATTATTTGGAAAGAGAAAAAACAAAAGAACATGAAGAATTCAGAAGGTTAGAGTTTGGGAGAACACAAAGAGTGGATGCACCTGAGCCATTGCAAACGATTTTGAGCCATGTCATTCAGGGTCTCTAACCATCCGTTACTATCATCTCGCGGATCCCAACCAGGTAGATAGTCTACACCTATCAACATAGCTCAGTCCACTTGTCAGTGACTTCATGGATTTATGCCATGTTTTGGTCTTTCTTCCAGCTTACTCCTTCCCCATAAAACATTGCACGTCGGGGCAGTCGGTGGTTTGACATGCGTAACACATTTTCCAGCCATCTCAACTGATGAAGTTTCACTACTTCATCAATTGATTTGTCATCCTTATCTAGTACCCGTTTCCTAAAAACTGCATTACTTACTCGGTGGTCCTAGGATATACGAGCAATGCTTCAAAGATACCTATGGTCGAATACTAGTAACCTACGAATATCCTCTACTCTTACCGGCCATGTTTCACAGCCATAAAGTAGGACGGAACGAATTACTGCTCAGTAAACCTGTCCTTTGATTGGTAGAGGGGTATCTCGCCTACGCCATAAATGACGCAAATTGGCAAAAGCTAGTCGAGCCTTCTGTATCCGTCCCGAGATTTTGTCACACAGCTATTGCAACTGATGTAGATCTAGCCAGTTAGTCCAGGAAATGATAATCATTGTTAGTGGTAATCAATCATCTTCGTGTACCATATTAGGAATTGTTTAAAGTTGACAATGCAAAACATTAAATTCTAATAAACTAGTGCAACTCTTCAACCATCATGTCATGATATAAAGTTCCTAGTTTAAATCATCGACATGAATTCGTGAATGTACATAATCAAAGACAAAGAATCTGTTCAATACATACTCCTTTAGTTTTCCCTAGTAATTCAACTTAATCCATTTTGTAACTAAAAGTGAAAATAACTGATGAAAATATCAGTTTGTTTTATATATTGACTCAAAAGTAACTGATTTCATTCCCTGTTATAACGGTTGGGTTTCTACGTTTACACGTATGGGACGTTACTTTACCTTAGGTGAATATCTACATTAGATTCCCTCTCATTGTCTATTATTCTACAGGACTTCAACACAACTCAGATGATCAAGAACACGTGATCAGCCTGACCACAACATAAATATATTTGCACACCAAAACCCGACACAATCCAACAACAATGAACAATCAATGATAAGTGAATGAGTGATAATAATAAGGATAGGGGAATATATAACTTATCTGACACCTGTCAGACTGTTTACATGTTTGACTAAGCAAACAACCAATCATTATCATTCTCACCCACACATCAGTTCCAATTAGTAGCTATCAAGTGTTCCCTCATTTTGAATGATACCTCCAAACGATGTTAATCCAACATGCATACCATCTACAAAACACAAAAAAAATTAATAAAAATAATAGCTAAGGTAAACTGACAGGAATATAAGAAAGATGAGATATAGACACAGATCGAGTTCAATCATTTCGTAGTTGAGATGGATATTGATTTATTGGGTCTTTTATCGTTTAAGACAAGATAAACGCTCCATCATTTTCCGTTTTGAACATAGACCCCTATCTTATAACTAACCTGAAAAATACTGCTTCAGTCGTTTGATGATCTCTGAGCATGATCAATTTAACCAGTTTACTATTAACATGATCAATTGTTATTGAAGATAATTGTTTTATACTGTATGGCTATCTGACCTTACTTACTTAATTACACTTGTCACTCCTCGTGAAGGAGCATAGGCCGCCCACCAGCACTCTCTATCTAATCCCTTCAGGATTCCAAGTTAGCGCCTACCTCGTGATGCAGTTTGATTATTTCCAAAATGTATGTCCTATCCACCTCCGAGCAACGGACATTGAGTATCTTATTTAGACAATTGTTTACAAATACTTGTACTTTGTTGGTGATGATTACGTAGTAGTTGTCCAAGTTTCACCTCCGTACAGTAGAGCTGTTTTGATGTTTGTATTGAAGATCGTGACTCTGATGTTGGTTAGCAGATAATTGTTTTGAGTTCTATATGTTCTTTACCTGTAGGAATGCCGTTCAATATATCAATAGTGTGATATACATTTGTTTAAACCATTTATATTTGTCATAGTATATATTCTGGTTCCAGACTTTATTTAGTTCTTGATCAGTTGTCCGATATTTATACCAGAAGGGGTTTTTGTGGATATTAAGGTAATTTCAATAGGTGAGATCATGAGTTAATTGAAGCTAGACCATCATTAAAAACCTGAAGGTACTGGGTAGTCGTTTCGTTTCATTGTGGGACTCCTCAGTGGCAGTGCGCATCCACGATCCCGACTGACGAGATTCGAACCCAGGACCTATCGGTCTCGCGCGCGAACGCTTAACATCTAGACCACTAAGCCGGCATCTAACAGTGATGATGTCTAACTTCAACTAATCCACGAAATTAAACGACGCATTCACCATTGTTATTAGTGAGCTACTACCTCACTATTAGACCCAATTGAACTCCATTGGTCACTGCTTCTAGTGCTTCCACGTTTTCCATGGTGATCCAGCTTCAATTAACTTATGATCTCGATATTCATAAATATGTTTGTCATGTGAACCCGTATCTAGTGTCGAGTCAAATATAGACAATAACCGACATTACAGTAAAAGATTCAAACAAATCTGAAGTTTATTTATGTTAATTTCTTTTATACTTCCTAGGTCCTTTTAAAACCAAACTTTTTTTCAACTTTTAGACTCGTGATTGTCCTTTGATCGAATGTTCTCGGAGAGGATTTCACAAGTGTATTGATTTGCTTATTGAAAATAAAGCAAGTCGTGAGAAAACAAGCAAAGTAAGCCAATAATGTACACATAACATATATGTATACACTGATCAGTTAGTTAGTCGTAATCAATGTTGTTTTTAAGGGAAGACGGATAGTGGCTAGCATTGGAATCCAGGGCGCGCGTTTCGTCCCATTTGGGGATCATCAGCTGGATGTACCTGCATCTCTGAGTGGATGCCCACTCTGCTACTCGAAGCCAGTACCGTCCGCTTCAAACGCTATCGCGTTATCCACTTAGCTACTGAGTCCTGATAACCATCTGTTTGTGTAGTGAGGTGAAGTTTAAATTCATTTGGTATTGTTTACTTGTATCTTCCCATTGTATTTAGAACTGCAGTTGATCAGTCCTTTATATGCATATGTGCTTACTGTGCGTATTGCCTCGATATAGCCTTAATTCACAAGCTTTATATGCAAAGATGGATATTGGCTAACAGTGGAATTCAGTTTGAAGCGTGTTTCATCCCGTTTGAGACTTGTCAGCTGGATGTACCTGCATCTCTGAGTTGATGTTCACCCTTGGACTCGAACTCAGTACCGTTCGCTTCAAACGCCAATGGGAAGATACAAGTAACCAACACCAAGTGAATACAATGTTGTTTTTGTCTATTCTTTATTTGGTGCTGATCAAATCTTGTTGATCAAGTTGCAATTTATGGTGACCTTTAATTGTCAAAGTGAATTGACATAGTGTAGAGTATTTTGTACAATAATTGATTGATAGATATATCCAAGAAGTTAGAGACTGGGTTGAATAGTAGTGATGTTTCTCAATGTAATACTGAGTAATGCTGGTTTGATTCTCATGTGGAATGATAATTCCTTTAAGTATGCAATTACGTTTTAATGAACAGTTGGAGAACTAATACGTATTTATTAGACAGTCTTACTGATATAGGGAACTGTTTGATGAACGCTTAGTTGAATGCTGTCAGCTTTTTACAAGATACGGAATTATTAGGTTCTAACATATTAACTGAAACAACATCTAATCACGAACCAATAAAAATCTAGAGGATCATTGGGACGTTATTATCTTCTATATTAGAATTTCACATTAGTACATTGATTGCACAATTTATTCAATCCTAAGTAATGATATTATGCTGCAACGTGATCACTAGTTCAAATAACTTAACATCGCGTTGGTTGAAGATAACTATCAGCAAATTCGAAGATCAGTAATATCTGACACTTTTCTGGTGAGTTACAAAGGTTCGAATCCCACAAGGGGGATGTCAGTTCCTTCATCATTATAAGTACGTCCTCCTAAAGAGTATTAAACTGGTTTTCCTATCGACTACTCCCAACTACTTAAAATCTCAAAAGTGTATGTTAGCTGTTACAGTGACTTAAACAGTACGTAGAAATAATTCATTAAAGTATTATGATATATCTATACAATATATTATTAATGATACCATTGCTCCATATGCTCCTTTTTTTAGGTTGGTGATACAGCTTTACATGTTGCAGCATTATCTAATCTTTCAGATACTATCTATTTTTTATTCTCAAGAAAATTTGATCTTTGCGCTGTCAAAGAGGTAAGTTTATTTGTGTGCATTACTTTTCTCATCTGCACACTAGTGACTAACTTCAAGAGAAACTCCAGGAGTTCTAGTGAGAAGCCGTTACCAGTGGAATTCAACCAGGTCACTGAAGACAATGGTGTACGGTGGCCCAACTTCGTGGACTGGTTGAAGTTAGATATTAACACCGTCCGATGCCACCAGCTCAGTGGTCTAGTTGGTTAACAGCCTGGCGCGAGACTTGTAGGTCCTGGGTTCGAGTCTCGTGGGGTGCGGGATCGTGGATGCGCACTGCTGAGGAGTCTCATGCCGGGACGAAACGCCCGTCCAGTGCTTCCAGGTTTTCCATGGTGGTCTAGCTTCAATTGACTCATGATTTCAACCAGTGAAAAAAAACTGGCTAGTTACAGTCTGTCCATCTTGTATGTTTGCAATTACCGTTGATAACTGTTCTTAGTAGTTGGTAAGTTATGTAGCTCGTTTAAAATAGTTCATTATTTCGATGGGAAGTATTTAAGTTAAATACTAACATTCTAAACTTCATGTATCCTAAAGAGCAAATTAGTTCTATTAAGATTGTTAGTTATCCTTTACTGATGAGTATCAACTAGAATGAAACCTAGATCAATCAGAGTTCCTTACTGATTGCCTTTAGCCACATAATATAACATTCTAGTTTGTTGATAGAAGTTTTTCTACTTCAGATTGTGTAGTTATGTCGCTAAGTAGTCTGAACAGTCATATCGGAACATTTATCCTGTTAACGTGTCAATTAATATTAATCATTAAACAATTCTTCCATTATAATTTTAGGCTGGTTAAGATGTACACATAAGTGTAAAAAAGAGTTACGCTTTATCCATTGATAGACTGGATTTGATGTATTAAGTCGGTTCTGTAAGCGATATATGATCTTATGGGATTTAAAAGCAAGAAACAGACTTATTATTGAACATCTCTACCCATTTAATTACACGCACCGTAATCATGTTGTGCTTATGAGGCATGGCAACTTGGATCGATTCACATATGTGCCTGGTCTTACGTTGTAGCTGACTGACTGACTGAATCAGACAATAGCCTACAGTTGTGTACCTGTCTTATCGCAACAGTCAACGATATCAAATTTTCATTTAGTCACCGCTAACTATTTTCCAACTTTCAAATTTAGATGTTCGATTAAGGTTATCCACAGCGTCTTCAATGTTCTATTCTGCACTTCCAACTGTTTTCACGATAATATGGTACATGACTGATGAACATTTGTGTAGGTTTCATTGAAGATCTTATTTCAAGCTCCAGTTTTCACTATATTTGTTATTCTAATCTGATATGTCAAACTGGGCTACATTGGCATTTTTTAACTCTTGAATTGAAATCTTCCATGAGAATTAAGCTCTAATATACAACATTCACTTATCAAATGAACTGTAAAATGTATGAGAACAGTATATCTGTGGTGTGGGTTACTTATTTCCATATAAGTAGTAAATAACGGTCGTCAGGCATAGAGTACACTTCAGTAGAAGTTCGATGATGAAAGAACGGGAACGGAATGTAATTGGTATAAAAACGCGTGAACAATGAAATCTGAGACAATCGATTGATGTTTGCGATAGGAACAGTCAAGTTTGGGATGATGGGTTAATAACTTGCAAATTAACGATTTACTATACGGTTCTCGGATTTTAGTGAGATGCTCTGTAAGTCCGTGTCATTTACGTTCGATTGTCCTTACTCGTGTTGTTGTTCAATTCATATGTATCGGACATCAGAAGCAGTCGTTTTCACTTCTCCTGTCAACCAACCAGCCAGTTTCCATGTAGTAGAAGATAATCAGCCAGCTAATAGGATATTTTTCACCTATATGGCTAAACTAGTGACGATTGAACTCATACATTCAATCTCAATGTGTTACACCAAGTAACAGAGATGTTAACTAAATCAGGTATAGTTTTCTTGTGTCTGGTGAGCGGAATAGTTGGCAGATCAATGTCATAAAATTATATATGTCTATTATTCTTTGGTTTTTTTGTAGGATAAACAAACTCCATTGCATCTTGCAGTTTCACAAAATAGACTTGAAGCAGTTGAAGCTTTATTGTTTTGTGGTGCTCCATTAGATCTGAGGGATAAAGTAAGCAACTTTAGTTTTGTTTTTCAATTTATATTTTGATTTTTACAGATGTCCTCTTCATCCTATTCAAGACTGATCAGATGGGTGTACTTGCATCCAAGAGTGATGTTCATGTTGAAACTTAAACACCGATACCTTTCACATTGCCGTTTAAAGAGAAAGACACTGTGTTTGAGTCTTAATGGGAACATCAACGCTGGGATGCCTGGACACCCATCTAACGATTCTTAAATAAGATGAAACGCGCATCTTGAAATCCACTGCTAGACAAAGTCCATCATTTCTATAAAAAAACTTTGGAAAAACCGCTGTCTCGGCAATCCGCACAATGTCCCAAATAATACTGATCGAAATTCAGTGCTGAATATTAACAACAGAATAGCTCGATCCTTTTCTAATGATGATATTTATACTCAGATTGTTTTCATAAACTGGTTCGATTAAGGATTTTGTTTCTGTTTACATAAAACGTTTTGGTGAATAACGGTTACCCTAAGTAATAAAAAATTTCATGTCACATTTAGTCTAATTAATGTAATCTAGACTCTAGTAGAGTCAGGAAGAAGTGCTGGAAGTGGGTAGGAAACACATTGAGGAAAGCACCCGACTGCGTCACAAGACAAGCCCTCACATGGAATCCTGAAGGTCAAAGGAAAAGAGGAAGACCAAAGAACACATTACGCCGAGAAATGGAGACAGACATGAGAAGAATGAACAAAAATTGGATGGAACTAGAAAAGAAGGCCCAGGACAGAGTGAGTTGGAGAATGCTAGTCGGTGGCCTATGCTCCATTGGGAGTAACAGACGTAAGTAAGTAAGTAAGACTCTAGTAGATACGTTAGGTAGTAGACTTAAGATTGGAGTGTAATGTGTGAGTCAAGTGATAAGAAGCTGCCGACTAAGATTATCTCAGCCAGATTCGATTATAATCCTTAGGGTACTTATCCGTGATATTTGAAACAGCAGCACAGATGTTATAACCAAGTTATTTTCATAACAACTAACATCTTGTTAGACTGAGTTATTTGAACTAATCGTTTACTAATATAGTCAACCGCCCATCTACTATTGGTAAGCAAAAAACGCTACTGGTTATTATTCACTGACATTAGTTATAAGCGTCTCGCTCATATGGAAGTTCACTTCTTATATGAGCAACTTTGATGGGAGATGATAACATTACTGACAGATAAATTGAGGAAATTTACTTTGAATAATAAGACCTGTACTTATTGGTGCTTTACCAATCAATGAGTGATGTCTTCGTTGAATATCAGAAGTCGTTATCAACCCTCTATCAGTTAGTCAATTCTTTTCAAAGTAAGTCTCCACCATCTCAAAGTCCCAATCAAATAAATGCTTCCATTCAAGTTGTCAGTGCATTGAAATGAATTTGCCACAATGTATGGTGGGAATCAGTTATGATCCTGAACCATGTCATCTAATATCTTGATCTATTGATCACAATAATTTACATGAGCCATTATAAAACAGACTTACTAACTTACTTACACCTGTTACTCCCAATGGAGCATAGATCTCCAAGCCACTGTCATGGGCCTTCTTTTCTAGTTCTGTTCAATTCTTGTTCATTCTCCTCCTTTCTATTTCCATTTCTCGAAGTAATTTGTCCTTTGGTCTTCGCCTTCTCCTTTAACCTTCAAGAGTCCGAGTGATGAGAACTTGCCTTATGACGTAATAGGGTACTTTCCTCAAATCATAAAACAGACCGACAGTATATAATTTTATCGATTAAAAATATGCCTTGGTTTATCCGCCTCTAGATCCCAACTTCTTAATTAACATTGAACGTATATTTTTGTTTCTAGGATGATCAAACTCCTTTGATGATTGCTGCCAAATCAAATTACACTGCATTAGTTGATATGATAATACGTGCTGATCGATGGAATAAAACTTATCCGGTAAGAGAGAGAGTGAGAGAGAGGCAAAGAGTGTTGGAAAGTTCTCTTAGTTACGTAATTCTGTTTATAGTTCAATCGGTGATATATTGTAACGTTATTTCTTATTTTTTATTTCATTTTAACTAAGGTAAGTAGTTGAGCTGTTGCGTAATATTTCTGAAGTCATAAGGATGTTGAATACGGTAAAATGGAAACAATGACACGCAATTGGTCAGTACGTTTTATTTTAAGCAAAGATGGATGCAGGTATATCCATCTGACGAGTCCCAAATAGGATGAAACGCACGTCCTGGATTCCACTGCTAGTCACTATCCATCTTTGCTGAACATGTCGAGTATATTTTATTGTTTATCTATATCCTATAATTGAATGAGTTTCAGGTAAACTGAAATGGATGGATGATTAGATTAGTTTGTTGATTTCAACAACACTAAAATTGGCGTAAGTCGAGTTCGCATATATGAATTGAAAAACCCTTAGCGTGCAATGAATCTTCATCAAACGAGGTGTTTGGAACATATATTATAGATGTCTAACCATCCCTTACCTCTATGTGCGGTATTGCTTCGTGTGAAAACTGTCTGGGGGAAAGATAATGGGCTGTTAACCTAACATGTGGTGTCACTCGATGAAATCATGGTCTGTTAATCTGAATTGAGTAGGTAGACTATTTGGTTAGAGTCATCACGATTATCATAATGAGAATTTGTCGACGCTGCGTAACACAGTTCGAAACTGGTGTCAATGGCAAATCTCTTGACTGAACAACACATTCTTGATATTTACATAATTCAATGAATGTTTTCCGTTTATTCAAAAATCACAGTTTACATCATGAACTGACGTTAAATGGAAAAAAAGTTGAAGACCATAAAGCACTGAAAAGTTTTTTCCACCCTTGGACAGAATATTTAGATTAAACTCCGGCCGTATGACCTAAATGCTCAAGGTTTACTCCCACAATAAGTTTATGGGTGTACGCATTTGTGGAGTCTCATACTAGAACAAAATTTCTGTTCATTTCCATCCAGAGTTTCACTAATTATCTGACTAAGGTCATTTCGGGATGTAAACTGTAAAATTCATTGATTTCCACAAATATTTCATGTACCTGAATAAATGGTTGCTCTGGTTGTCAGAAAGCGAGTCGGCCTCATGACTTCCGAAGGAACTCGAATTTGATCATGAAACGTCATAACTGTTCTAAATGAAGACCTTCTGACTCCCAGGACAGAGTTTAAATGGTTTGAATATTTTTTTCTAGTTAGCGTTTTTTAGCGAGTTAGTTTTCTACGGCATGGGGTCTCTAACCTCATACCCAACCCTCCTCATTTATCCGGGCTTGGGACCGGCAGTAGCCCCCGGAGGGACCCCAGGTGGAGTTTTCTATAAACATATCTCACCATCATAATATAAGTCAATTCTAAAAAAATTCCAAACTTAGATTGACTTTCAACTCTGGAATACAAATACATCCAGCTGACAAGCCTCATGTAGGACGTAAAGTACATTCTGAATTTCATTGCCAATCATATTCCCTCTGTACTATATAAATACGATTACTTACTTACTTACTTACTTACGCCTGTTACTCCTCATGAAGGAGCATAGGCCGCTCCATACGACAGTTACATTTAAAATAAATATCTATTCAGTTAGTTATTAGTTGCTTTTTTTACTTAATTCATATTTCTTTCTTTTCTCACTTTTTCCTCGGATCATAATCAATTAGGTGAATGCTCAAAAATTGATTGATGAAATTTTACAAACACAACAAACCAAATATGTAACCACAAGAATATTAGACAAAAAACAAAAGAACACACAAGAAGTAAGTAGTCAATGAATTGATTAAGTTAATTGATTGATCATAAAACTTAAAGTAAACACGATCGATAAGATTTGATCTGTACTCAGAAGGATCTGATATATATATATGATATTGATCAACACTCAGTGATCAATCAATTGTAAATACATCTCAGTCCTATAGGAAGTTAGTTGCGACCCGGATAGTTCAGTGTTAATGTCTCTGATTGTGAAGCTGGATGACACGGGATCGAATCTGTCAACGAACATCAGGTTCCTTAAGATTACAAATATATCTTGTTGACGAGTGCCATATAGAACGACACCTAGTTCCAGAGTTTCATGTTGACTAATTCCAATCACCAACTTATCTCAACATAGTGCATGCATGTCGAGTCAACTAGATTGGTGGCCACACTACAACTTGGTCGATAGTATTCGATCTGCACTAAGAAGGACCTGACATACTTGACATTGCCCACTACCTAGTGATCAATCAACTGTAAGTACTTGGAGAAAATCTTTTTGATCCCTTTTTTGGAAGGACCACCGCTTTTCTCAATGCAATTAGTGGGTATTTCAGTACAATGCCATTAATTATTTGATGAGTTCAAAACCACCAGCTTTACCGTAAATCAAGCTTATTCAGGATGTGAACTAATTAATTTCTGAAATCACGAACTGATCTAAGTTATATGATCACGTGATATTATGGACTAATTGAAGTCCTGGAATAGGATGAAACGGCCGTCTAGTGCTTTCAGGTTTTCAATCGTAGTCTAATATCAACCAGTTCATGATCTCGATCAAAAATATAATAATCTCCATAACCCTATACTGAAAGTTGAATTTCTGTTGGCAAATGGACCTGGGATACACGTCTCATCTGATTTAAGACTCACTGTCTAGATATGCTGGCATATCAGTCTTGATTTCTATATTTCAGAAGGCTAACCACTAAAATGAGGGAGCTTAGTTTATTTGAGCCAAACTGATCAGGCAACCACTATATACTCATTTATCTAAACGTTTTAGCCCCCCCCCCTTAAAAAAAGTAAGCCTTTCAGTGGTTCATATCTCATCCTTTATAATATAAAGCAATTCCTTGAATAATTTTGTACATTTCCAGTTTCATAGTTTCTGATCGACACAATGTATCCTCTTTCCTCGTCGGAAAATAAATCAAACTTCTCCGAGTTAACAGAAGGTGTTAAACTCTTTAGTGAACTAGATAAACACGATGAATCTGTTGAAAAGACTGTGAATCATGATCGAATAATGTGACTAGTACTAGAACACGTAATGTAAAATAGAACTTTACTATTTTCCTGATTCCCTAATACTGTACTAATGAGGATTACTTATGAATTCCCGCAATTGATTTATCTTAATTACAAGACGAATCAATGCTTCCTAGTTGTTAATAAGAACGTCTTATTATGGTCATTCAGTGATGTTAACTTTAAACGACAAAATCTGTCTAAACTCATTACACTAATGGTAATTATTTACTTAGTAGTGAATAATTTCAAGAAATAATCTCTGTAATTCTAATAAGAATCCATGATCAATGAAGTTTGACTCTTTTGAGTGTGATCCAGTAGCCAACCAATGAGACTAAAAGATGATTGTATCAAATTACAGATTACTAAAACTTTGAAATCTATTCTATTGCATGACAACTTATTGGTTTAAATGTCAAGCGCTCATCTCAGAACTTCAGTGTCTAAAGTTCTAACACTGATTAGTTAGCGGATTGACACTGCTATGGAATAACATATCAAGATGAAAGGTTTGTCCAGTATGATTATTGGGTTTTACTCGTTGTTATGTCCCGATAAACATAATGAATGGTAACTTTTGGGATCTCTTGATGGACCAATAGTGAACGTATATTTCTATTGTATAATTATTAGGTAACTAAACTATGCATATTCATATTCCCCTTATTATAAGCTTTATTTTGACCCATGAACCATCATTATACGATTTACCATTCTTGAATTATGCCCAGTCTATTTATTACAGTCTCCCACATTCACAGACACATTTGGCTAAACCTTGTACAAATGTTGTTTCCTATTTTATTGGTACGATGTGGTCTGTATGGTTGGTATATAAACTCAGTTTGAAATAAGGAATTCATATCACAGAGACTGATATTGGTGTTCTGGACTTAACAGGCAGGTAGGGCTAGGCGGGAAGCAAGACCGATAAGGACTCAGGAGTGCTCGCACGTGTTTTATGCGTCCTTGGTCCGATCAATAATTCACTGCTCTCTAATTGGCGGTCACAAGTTATAACACTAATCAACATCAGTTCATGATGTACACAATGAAATTCAACAATCGCTATCTATTCACACATATATTCATCTATCTATCCTTTCACATTTCATAAGAATAAACTATCTTCTTTTCAATTCTTTCTATTCACACATTAATAGATATTATCGAATGATCGAAAACACTTATTCAATGATAATACTGGTAACCATAATAACAATAAGAATAATGATAGTACTGAAGATTCAGAAAGTAGTCGAACATATGTTGGACAACATCACGATTACCATCATCATCATCCTACTACTGATAATGATCAGAACTCAATCATTCCAAATGATAATGATCCTAATGATGTGATGATGATAGAATTTATTGATCCATTTAAACAATTACAATTAGAAGAGAACAATAAACAAATTAATGAAATACAATTAATAGTAGATCATCGTTCAACGACTACAGCAAGTTCTGAATCAGGTAGTGAATTATCATTAGGTTATGAAGCAAGTCGTGCATGGAATAGATCAGATCAACGACAATATCAATCTAATCATGATCTATTGAATAATTCATTTAGTCTATCACAAATTAGTTTGAGTCGTGATTTAACTGAACCAAATTTTAATCAAGAACATTATGATAATGATGTAGATGATGTGCATGATGACGATGATCATCATCATCATCATCATCGAAAACATGGAAGTCTTAATAATTTATCATGTCAAGTTCAAGGTGATGAGATTTATTTACCAAATGGTGAGACAATATTTCGTATTACGGATACATTGTTAGCACAATCCAGTAAGAATATGCGTTTATTGAATGGATATGGTTTGAATTTAACACATCCATTTACATTTAGAGCACCATGTCAAGTGAGTGATTCTTTTTTTCTTACTTTCTTTCTAATGTTTCTGTTGAAAGAAGATAGATTAATGAGAGTGATGTTTAAGATGGTGTAGGTTAACAAGAATCAATCAACATCATTTTAACATTTTATTCTAACACATAGATATTGGTACAAAGAGGCACCAAATACATATACGCCACATAAATCTCATTCGATATATGTGAGGGCTGTGATACTGCCCGGGTGACAACAACAACACTCCCGCCACGAGAAGGTAGTGAGTAGGACTTCCCTGGTAAAAGCTATATACGCATGGCCATGTGAGAGCATTTCAAGAGGGAGAGCGGACCCTCCCTACTCTCGGCCATACCAGGGCATTTGGGGGCACATCATTTTAACATTTTATTTTAACACATAGATATTGGTACAAGGAGGCACCGAATACATCAAGATCTACAGGCCAAGCTGTGAACTACATGTGGAGAAATTTCGAAATTTATACTGATGATATTGTTCAAAAGAGTGATGACAGCTCCATGACCAAATCATCCAGCTTAGAGAACAAAACTCAATCAAAGAAAATGATGTTTGTTTTATGGAGCAGTTTTATATCTTAAGCGATTAATTTGAATTATGCACTTACATTAGTGTTGAAAATATTGATCATAGAAACAGTGTAAATGTGTGTACGAACAACAATCAAGCTATCAGGATAATAATGATGGTGTTAATTGGTTGATGTGATTCGATAGGAAAACCTGTTGAACTTTGGTTTCATATTAGTTGATACTTGCCAGCATAATGAGACTGAAACATTCAGGACTAGTAGTATTGATCAGTCGATGCAAATATCTTAGTCTCACAGAGAAGCTGTGAAATATAGAGTGAAACGAGTTTGAATCACTCAGGCAGTATCAACTGCCTACAGACTGAGGAAGCATACCTTACTCGTGAATATCAAGTGGCATGAAACCCAATTTAAAAGTATCCTATCGACTGCCTACGATTATCATTTAATATTTCAGCGTATTGTATGGGGTGTAGCGTTACTTAGACTAGTGGCTACATTGAAACTTGATCGATAGAATTCGATCAGGACCTAGGAAGGAATTGACATACATGACATTGATCGACACCCAGTGATCAGTCAATTGTAAAAGCTTTTATCTTTCGTTTGGAGTTCAAGTATAGAGAACATCTCTTGTAACAAGGTACTATGAATCGACTTAAATTATAATCAAACGGTCAAACACCCCAAAAACTCATCAGTTTATAGATAGTGTAGTGAACAAGAACACATATAGAGGTACAATCGAATGTATTCGAACGCCAAATTACAGAATATCTCACTAAGATCTGAGAACCATACAGTAAATACTACATTTGCAAAACGTCAGTCAGTTGTCTCAGACTTGACTGTCTCAGATTTCACCGTTCATGCAATTTCATACCAATTACTCTCCATTCTCATTCTTTCCTTCTCGATCTTCTACTGAAATACATTTTATTCATGACTATCATATATACTACTTATGTAAATATAAGTAGCTTACATCATAATTTCAAAATTTCATTTTTTAGAATTATGCTGATGATATGAATGTTCTATTCTATGAATATTCACATCGATATGCAAAAACATCGGATTGGAAAAATTTGGCAAAATTTTGGGGATTCACATCAGATGATATAACTGCTATTGAATATCAAGATATTGGTAAGTTGAATTCATCACAATATTTTAATTACTTGATAGTTTATGTATAATCATAGAGAATTACTCAATTACCTACGCCAGTTACCCCTCGCGGAGGAACATAAGCTGCCCACTAGAATTGTAGACTGTCAGTTTTTTTCGGATTAATGATTAACACTACTTACACAATCAATGGTGGTTGAAACGATGAAGTATAGAGATAATGAAATAGTGTGTGTTTCATTGTGAAATCAATTCTGAGTGATGACACTGTTGGGTTGGCTTCGAAAAAGGGCGATGAAGCCTCTAGCGACTTTAAAGGTGATGAACAGATTCCATCTAATCAGAACCTAATAGAACCATCTAGAATATCAAGATGATATTCTACGATTGGACGATGACATAAATTGCCTCCTTGTGGACTGGATGAATTATAATGATGTTATAGCCAATACTAATAAATATAAATACCCATGTTTTTCTGTACATTTTTAATTCTTACCAAATAATCACTTCCTCTGTTTCTTCTGTCTTCTGGTCTGTGACTGTAGAGTTCTATATATTCGAGTGCGGTTAGTTGTATATCATATTCTGTATCTTTATTCATTGATTAAGATCATCATGTTGATCCCAACCAGATAGTTTGTACCTACCAACAAAACTTAATTTGACAGTCAATGGATTTGTGAAGTGATGTTATGAGATAGTTTCACGGCTCATAGCTCTCTCTCAGTCTACTTCGACATCAATAAACATAGCTTCTCGAGATATGGAGTGGATTGGCAGACATAAGTCATGTTCCAACTGCCTCAATCGAGGATTCACTTATACATTAGAAAGTATGTGTAGATAACCTCAAATGTTTACAGTGAAATCTCTGGTGAAAATTATACTCAAAAGTTCAAACAATCATTCTGTAAATGAACCGAGAAATGCCCAAAACTACTGGCTTCTAGAATTATGTCATAACAATATAGTAATCATGTGCTTACAAGTAAACAAGTTCTGGGATTAATTTCAGGAGTTCTAATGAGAATCCATGATAAGTAGATTTTAATCACAATTGGTTGATCACTGAGTGGTGATCAATGTCATGTGTGTCAAGTCCTTCTTAGTGCAGATCGAATGCTATCGATCATGTTGCAATGTGGCCACCAGTCTAGGTGACTCGACCTTGCGTGCACTATATATTGGAGATTAGATGGTGGTTAGAGGTAGTTGACAGGAAACCCTGGACTCGGATTTCGTGCTACATGGCACTCATCGGCAAGGTGTACCTGTAATCTTGAGGGAACTGATGCTCCCTGGCGGACTCGATCCCGTGTCACCCAGATTTACAGTCAGAGACGTTACCACTGAGCTATCCGAGCCGCGACTAACCTCCTGTAGGACTGAGATGTAATCACAATTGATTGATCACTGGGTGGTGATCAACGTCATTTCAAGCATAAAAAGAAAAAGAAAACTCTCACCAATTGCAATCAATGATGTTTAGGAAATAACAAATCACTGAATTAGAACTCAACATTTTTGAAATGGGACATTTGTCATAAAGCCTAAAAGTTATGAGTTCGATCTCTAACGAAAGATATAGCCGGGGATGTGTATTATCATGAAATCCCAATATTGGAACGTGGTGAGACTATAATTTATGAATGAACCAATCACGGTATAAGATAAAAGGTCTTGGATTTTGGCGCGAAATTCCGCCCCCCCCATCCATTTGGCTAAATAGAGTTTTGGCATTATACCTGATGTCGATTCATGATGAAAACTTTGAATCTAATTCATAACCTTCATCATCAATTGTAAATGAGAATTGTAATTCCTTACACACTGGTTTATAACCCTCATTTGGTTCTAGTTACTAGGTGGACACTCTCAACGTCAGTCTGGCATCGCTGAAAGATCGTCCATAAATTATAGTCACATCTTGGAATACTTCATAACTTTCATCTTTATCTAATTAAAATTAATTGTACCTTTTTTTAACTTTGATTTAGGTAAAAATTCTTATAAAGAACATACATATCGATTATTGAATATATGGTTACATGGTATTAGTGATAATCAATCACCATTGAATGAATTCTATTTAGCCTTAACTACAATTGGACGTAAACGAATTGTGGAACAATTACATCGACGTATTAAAACATTAAATAAACTGAATAATAAACATAAATGTAAACTATATTAAGAAATAGATACACATACGGATATACTAGCACCTAACCAACCAATCACCCACCCACCCACACACACACAGAGACATACATGTACATCATGTGTAAAATGTCATTTTATTGTCTTTATTTCTTTTTGGATTACACTTCTCAATTATGTTATTTGTAACCTTCTTTGTATATCCTTCTTTATTATGTAATCAGAGTATCTAAGCACACACACACAGAGAGAGAGAGGGAAATACCCCTCTTTATTATGTAATCAGAGTTTTTCTAAACACGCGCACACACGCACGCACGTACATAATGAGAAATATTCATTCATCATAAGTATAATGGTTTCAATAAATGCTCCAGGGTAATCATCTTCCCATCACATTATCTAATTCTGTTATTTATAATAATATTAGGTGTTCTCTATTTACAATGATTTTAAAAGCTGTTCTTTGTAGTTCATGCCCAACTCTCCTCCTTTATCCGGGCTTGGGACCGGCAGTAGCTCCCGGAGGAACTCCAGGCGGAGTTTGTAGTTCATGTGTATTTTAAGTATTTACTTACTTACGCCTGTTACCCCTCATGAAGGGGCACAGGCCGTACACTATGATTCTCCATCCAACTCTGTACTGGACAATCCTTTCTATTCATCATTCTGATGTTTACTTACAATTCTTGACGTAGTATATTTTTCAGCTTTCCTCTTTTTCGTTTCCCTTCAAGATCCCAAGTAAACGCTTGTTTCGTAATACAGTTTGATGATTTCCATAATGTATATCCTATTCAAATCCAACGTATTTCCTTAATTTCTTTTTTTATCTGAAAGCTGGATTTTGTTCTCTCCCACAATAGACTGTTACTGATTGTATCCAACCAAAAGATTTCTTGTGTATCCGAGAGATAGAAAAAAAGACTTCAGTTTAGGTTTTCGTTTTATTCTTTTCTTTTTCATGTTGATTTCTGTCAATTATGCAATTACTCTTTTGTACACCCCTATACTCATATTGTTCTGTCAGAATGGGTATAGGGGGTCAGGTGAAGTAATATTCATATTAGAAGGATAATTGAAATATTGATCAATATTATTATTATTATTACTAATTATCCTATATATTACAAATATATAAACACATATTCAGTCATAGATACTCACTGAGTTCACCTCTGACGCTTCTCGTTGCTAATTTTTCCTTCCTTGTCGAGCATTTTCCTTTCTGTTTGATTTATGCTTATCTATTTTCAATACCACCCCCCCATCGTACGTTTTTTGACACATTCCTTTATTTATTTTTTGTACAGAATGGAAAAAAAAGGGAAAATTCTAAATTGTAAACAATAAATTTGATGAGAGAAAAAAATGTAGAGAAAAATTGGTTGCTAACTATTTACATTTCGTTATATCAGGAGGGGTTTTGTGGAGATTGTAGTGATTTTAACAGTTGAGATGATGAGTCAATTGAAGTTAGACCACCATAGAAAACCTGGCAACACTGGACGAACTTTCCGTCCTACAGTGGGACACCTCAGCAGTGCACATTCACGACCCCACTTCTCGGGATTCGAACCCGGGACTTATCAGTCTCGCACCGCTGAGGAGTCCCACAATAGGACGAAATGGCCGTCCAGTGCTTCCAGGATTTCCATGGTGGTCTAGCTTTAATTGACTCATGATTTCAACTACTGAAATTACTATAATCTCCACAAAACCCTTTCTGATACTAATATCATTTATTCAGAGAGAGAAAAACATTGGCTCGCGAAGAAACAAGTCTATTTCATTTGAAAATTGTTGCTATGTTACTCTTGTTCATTCTAGGGAATGTTTTTTATTTTGAAAGTCTAACATACTTAGATAATTCACACACAAACTGGTAAACAAAAATGATTAGATAACCTGATAAATATCATGAAAGATAAGGATCTCAATGTATCAGGTCAAGGTTATTCATTATTCACTAATGATACCATTCTGTATAAAAAAGATTAAATTCACACCAAGTATAACCACTACACATGATTACATAATTATGGAATGTCATTCTGTCACTGAGCACCATCTCTAGTCTAAACTAATTGCTTCTTTACATAATAAGTTTATGTGTTTATTTGAACTTTGCTTTTAAACAATGAAAGAATCTACATAACTCGATAGTTGAATTATCATGTCACATTAGTTAGACAAGTTGGCACACTTGATTGATCACTGGGTGGTGATCAATGTCATGCTTGTCTAGTCCTTATTAGTGCCCGCAGTGTCGAGTCACTTAGACTGGTGGCCACATTGCAACATGATCCATAGCATTCGATCTGCACTAATAAGGACTAGACAAGCATGACATTGATCACCACCCAGTGATCAATCAATTGTGATTACATCTCAGTCCTACAAGAGGTTAGTCACGGCTCGGATAGCTCAGTGGTAACATCTCTGACTGTGAATCTGGGTGACACGAGATCGAATCCGCCAGGAAGCACCAGTTCCCTTAAGATTACAGGTACACCTTGCTGACGAGTGCCAAGTAGCACGAAACCCGGGTCCAGGGTCTCCTGTTGACTACCTCCAACTACCATCTAAATATCAAGTTGGCACACTGCACACTGATCGACAGCATCAAAGAATGAAGTATGTAGTTTGAATGACTATTTTTATTGATCAGTTAGTGTCAATATCTCAGTTACACAGAAGATCATTAGGATACTGCGATAGAACAATGGTGACGTTTGAGATCATGCAAGTGTTTGAGTCGAACGAAAAATGTATCTTACTTTTTAAGTGCTACTTACCATGAATAATATTTTGATGAATCACTTTCAGTTCACTTGAACTACCTAATAAAGTAGATAAAATCTGTATATCACCCGATTAATCAGAGTTTAATAGTTTGTCCACAAGTTTGTTGATAAGCTTTGACTATTACAAACCAACCTCATATGACATTGAATAGATCCTTTTGTCAATGTATAGTTTAATTCAATTTAATGAAAAATTTAAATGACTGAGGTTTTAGTCATATAAGACCCTATAGAGATGAAAGCGAAATGTACTAGATTCAACTCTTAGTGTGAATATCAAAACTGAGTTTAATTATATCTGTCTGACGATTCTGTGAAAGATTGCATCATGATGGCTGTAGCGATCTATATGTGATACATATATGTCAGTCAAGACTGATAAAATTTCAATCAAACAATCAACAATGAAATGGCCTAAACTATTATAAATTAAAAGCTCTGCCTGGAACCCCTCTAGGGATACTGCCTGTCCTAAACCCGGATAAAAGAGTAGGGTTGGGCATGAGGTCAGTGACCCCATCCCATAGAAAACTAACTCGCTAAAAGAACGCTAATCCGAAAAAATAATTCAAACCATTTAAACTCTGTCCTGGGAGTTAGAAGGTCTTCATTTAGAAGAGTTATGACGTCTCATGATGAAATTCGAGTTCCTTCGGATGTGTGTCCACAGTTGTCTACGTGCATTGATATAAGTGGCGACATGTCATGGCGTTTGACTGTTAATTTATGTCCATGCAGACGAAGATGAAGAAAGCGTCCGGTTTGTCCGATGTAGTTTTCTTCGTAGTTGGGACAATTTATTTGGTTCATCTTTTTATGTCGTTTCATCCCTTGGTTTGCATAGGATTGATTGTAGGGATTTTGTTGGTTTGTGTGCAACACCAATACTGAAGGGTTTCTGAAGTCTCGTTGTAGTTTCTGATATGTATTTTATGTATGGTAAGGTGATCCTATTGTTAATTTCTGTACTTGACTTTCTTTCTAATGATGTGTGAGGCTGGCACAAACACAGTAACAGAAATCAAACCAATGGGAGATACAACCAAAATAAAGAAGTAAATAATGACAAGTTTAAGGCCCATAAGAACCAATCAACATCGAGGTGTAAAGGACAAGCTGTGAACCACATATGCAGAAATTCGAACATTTCACTTCTACCTGAAGTTTGTACTGAAAATATCATTCAGAAGAACGATGAAATCTCCACAACCAAATCATCCAATTCATCCACCTGAACTACAAATCTTCTCTATCAACACTAAAATATCTAAGAATACAAACAAGTAGATCTAATACAGAATCATCTTGATACATCGGAATGTTTTGTTTCACTTTCACTATTTAAACATATGTTCATTTGTCAGTTATTCATCACAATTAAATCATATACGTAGTTACAAAATAAACTCCGACTGGAGTCCCTCCAGTAGCTACTGCTGGTCCCAAGCACGGATAAACGAGGAGGGTTGTGCATAAGGGTTAGCGTCCGCATCCCTTAGAAAACTAACTCGCTAAAAAAAGCGCTAACCAGAAAGATAAGTTACAAAATAGTAAGCAAATAGTATAAATGAATAGGAAGTAAACAAGTGTATTAATTGTAGTGATGAAATCTAGTCAATAGTTGAAAATACAAAAGTTATGTGAAACATAAATAATTAGATACTCATATTAGTTGCCAGGTGATAAAACGGTAATTAAAAAAACTGACTTGTATGACCTTGTTCCTGTGTTAAAATTAATGGCACATCAACTAGTATTAGAAGTTATACATGAACTCTGAATTCTTATTGTTTCTTAATATAGTAACTTCTTAATCAGAACCTGATGTTGAGTTCAGAGAACACTATCAGATTCTATGGTATGAATTGTATATTTCACATATTATACATAGTTTATATGTAAGTTGATTGGACTGCTTCATACCAGAACATATTTTAAGACAAATATCAGTTATTGAGGATCAAGTCAAAAGTGATGAGATCGAATCCGATTATGAAACGATTTTATTTACTATATGACGACGATAAGCTAGATGTACCAAGTTAGCGATGTGTATTGTCTTGTTCTTGTCTACCTCCTTTCTAGTTTAAGCTGGAAAACAATTATTCATTCGTTGGATAAGTTCCCTGGTAGGATATACAATATAGCTATCTGTACAGGAGCAGTTGAATTTCCCTCACTAATCTATTATGCAGGATAATACAAACCACATCCTCTTCAAATGGTATTCTTAAGAAAAGAGCATTTCATACGAATGATTAATATCTTCAACTTATTTTTCTTCACATAGATATACTTCTCAGATAGCTGTTCTCCATTAGTATGTTATGTGCAAACTCCAACTCCTTCACTATGATTTTATCTGAGCAGATTGTATTTGTTCTACTCATGAGTAATTGAACCAGATTTCTCCTGTAGCTGATGATTGTTAAATTACAGAAGTTTGTATGTTGGCAAGCAAAGGAATGCTTTTTTATACATGATTATGTCATTCTATTAACGTAATAAGATGTCAAGGGAATTTAGTTCATCGTCACACCCGCCGTCACTAGTGAAAGTGAATCATTTCTATGTACCTAATCAATCTGTTTAACAAAGTACGTAACGATATACATTTGACTATGAAACATGAAGTCGATGAGAAACTTACCTTCATTAATATCTGTCTACATGAAAGTGTATACCCTTTGAAATTCATCGAAATGTATGCCATATCCAACTTACTTGTTAAATACGATGCGATGGAAAAGAAAATTTGCATTTTATATCTGCACTTCAAAGGAGATGGAATCGCTGGAATAAACAACCACATGATTAATGTAGCGATATTGGCTGGTTATTCAGCAGCAAGTCTGATGACACTATCGGAAACAAACTACTCACTGAAAAATTGATAGGTCCTCTATTCTTAGTAACTTCAACTGAATTTGCCAGCACACACACTGAAAGAATAGAAAGAGTACATATCCACATTTCCGAGTACGTTCCGAAGAATTTGGGACTGTGATTCTTAACGGCTCTAAATAGTGTAATAGATCAGTATTTAACTAATATCAGGTATACCATTGACATTTCCTAATCCTTCAAAATTTTTAGCAAACTAAACTAAATAGAGCGTCTCTTCGGTTTGCCTATGCGGTTGCAATAAAAAACTCAAACTTGATTTATGTGTCAAGAAAGTAACACTAATCGACTTAACACAACTTTGCTGAATTCATGGCTCTAGTGTCACCTGGGATTATCATTTGTTTGTTGTTCTTACCAGTATTATAACTATTATTAAGTTTTAAATTAAGTTCGTGGAATGATTGAAGCTAGACCACCATGTAAAACCTGGAAGTACTGCACGACCGTTTCGTCCTATTATGAGACTCCTCAACTGTGCGCATATACGATCCTGCTCGCGGGATTCCAACCCAGAACTTTCAGTTTCGCGTGCGAACACTTAACCTACTGGACCACTGAGCCAGCCAGTATCCAATGGTGTTAATATCTAACCTCAACTAATCCACCAAGATGCGCGACCATCTTCCACTGTACTGAGGTAGATATCTGTATCTAACCGACACGGATTAGCC